ATGGTGGGCCGCAGCGCTGCCAAGGTCCACCGCAAAGACATGCGGACGGCGGTGGGGGGCCAACAGTTCGGCCTCGCCAAGGACGGATGTGGTGCCCTCCATCGACGCCTATGCACAATGGCCAACTCGAGCCCAGGCAAGTGGGTGGTGGCGGTGGACCTCGGGGATGCGTTCAGCAACATCCCCCTCGACCTGGTGAAGGAGGCCGTGCGCACCGAGGTGCCTGCGCTGGCCCCGCTGGCGGAAGCCTGGCTCCCTGCTCGCACGCGCCACGTGGCGGGGGGCGGGTCGCAACCTGCCCAGCTGGCCGACCAGATCCGTGGCCTCGACCAGGGCTGCCCGATGAGTCCAGGCTTTTGCGCGGTCGGCACCGCGGATGTTCTCAGCATCGGTCGCATGGCCGTGCGTGCGGTGGACGCGGGGGGGGGACTGCTTGGCCTTCCTGGACGACGCGTACTTCGTGGGCACCGCGGCCGCTGTGTTCCGCGGCTTGGATGCCTGGCGAGCCCGCATGAAGGCCCACGGGATGAAGCTGACGATGTCCAAGACCCAGATCTGGCCCCCAGATCCCCAAGCTGTCTTGCCGCCTGAGTTTGCGGAGTACGCCCAGTACCGCGCCCAGGAGCTCAAGGCGGTGGGGCCCACCCTGGCCTGCACGAACCACGACGTGGACACCGACTGAAGGGGCGCCCCGCTCACGGACTTCGCCGTCCCAGAGGACCTCGACGAGGGGGGCCTCGGGCAGGCTGGCGGCGCCGGGGCCGCCCCGAGCGCCGCCGTGTCACTCCCCTGTGGCGAGGCCTTCCTCCAGAAGCAGGACCGCTACTCCCGAGAGCTCCTGACACTACGCAGGCATGGGCTTTCGGCCTTTGACGCATTCCAGCTGATGCGGATCTGGTCGAGGGGCGCCTGCGTCCACATCCAGCGGGCGCTCCCGCTCGCGGCGGCGTGGGGCCGCAGGGTGGATGACGGAGTGGTCGCCTTCTCGTCAACGCCCTCCTGGGGGTCGCGGCTGCCCCCCGTGAGCAGATCTTCATGAAGGTCAGCGACGGAGGCCTGGGATGTGGCAGCGCCGAACAGCGCGGCCCCGCTGCCCTCCTGGCGTCCTGTGAAGCTGGGATCCACGCGGCTGCCCAGGAGTACCGAGAGTCGACAACGATCGGCCTCTTTCGGAGGTGGCCAGGCCTTGGCCGTGCTCTCTCGGCAGCAGACGAGGAGCAGGGACGGCTGGCAGGAGGCCGTCGCCCCCAGAGTGACCGCTGGCAGGGCCTTCTGGATGGGGCGGAAGGGCAAGGGCCAGAAGACGTGCACCCAGCACGTGCGGGATCACGCCACCAAGACGTTCATGGCCGCGCTGCCAGTTACGGCGGCGGCGGCGGTGCACAGTGCCTCGGGCAGCTCAGCGGGCGCCTGGTTGGATAACTTCGAGAGGGTCTCGCCCCTCGCCGACCACGCGTTCTGCGTTGCGGCCAAGAGGTGCATGCATCTGCCGCTGCTGCAGTCCGAGTGCACGTGCCTGAACCGTCCAGCAGCGCCCGCCCGCGCGATGGCGCAACGCGGCCCGGCGTGCGGCCGCGCGGTGGACGTTCGTGGCGTTCATGCGCTCAACTGTCCCAGGGGAGGCGGCCCGACGCGCCGCCACAATGCCATCCGAGACGCCGTGGCGCTCAGGCCGCGCGGGGTGGGCCACCGCGCCCTGGTGGAGCAGGTCATGCCAGAGTGGTACGCGGAAGAACAAGGCGCGGCCACACTGGACGTTGTCTACCATCGAGGCATCCGTGGTCGAGTTTGCCTCGACATCAGCTTGGTGGGCGAGGTGGCTGTGGCCCAGACGGGGCGGCCGCGCCAGGCAGCCCTGCAGCGCAGAGAGAAAGTGAAGCACCGTAGGTGCCCATTTTCTGGCCTGGTGCCCTTTGTTCTCGATGTCAATGGTCGCTGGGGCGCAGAGGCTGAGACGTGGCTGCGCCGTGCCGTGGGAGAATTGCTTGAGGTCGAACGGCCCGCGGCGCGTTCATCCCTGCGCTCGGCAGTGGCCAACGCTCTGCAGGGCCAAATCGCGGAGCAGGTCGCCCTGGCGACGGAGGGCGCAGCGGGACTGGATGCAGGGGCCGCCCCGAGCGTTCGGTCTTGACTAGCTGTGGCTCCACCCCATTTGCGTGCGTTCCCTGACCCTCCCCATCCCCACTTCCCTTCCTGCTGCCCTGATCAGTCGTGAAAAATTAGTCACATCTGCTGTGTGCACGGTACTGTTCAGTTCCTTTGTTGCGCGCGCAGTGCGCTCTTGCGTTGTCATGTTTGTTCTGCACGCCACGTTGTGTCGCCTCCCTGCCTTGTGCATGTTGTGGTCTCGCCATTTCACACTTGTGATGCTCTTAATCTCTGTCTTGGGCTGCTCCCGCAACCCACCTGGGCTGAGCCTTTACGCCGCCAATAGCACCTGTTCGAGGCCGCTGGCTAAAGAGGCGTCAAGAGGCGTTAAAGATCGGGGCCGCCCCGCGGGTCCTGGTGCCGTCGGCGGCCCGCCGTCCGCTTTGTCGCCCGCCCGCGACGTGGTTTCCTCGCCCCCCTTCCCTTCTCCTGCCCGTCCAGGGTCCCGAACGGGGGTCAGGCCGTTTTCCGCCAGCACAAGGATCGGGTCCCACGCACCTGGAGCCGTTAGTTTCAGCCTTTAGTCTTACTGTTTTACCTTTGTCCCGCCTTGGCAGTCGGCCGCCCCATTTTGGTTCGGTGTACAGCCTCTCCCCCTCCCTTCTCTTCCTCGGCAGCTGTTTGGCTCGTAAGGCCTTGTCTCGCACATTCTCTCGAGCTGCACCTCCCGTGCCATCCACCCGACCAAGTGATGGCACCCAAGTTCTCGAAGCCTGCGCCGATGCCTTGGCCTGCCAAGACGTGCGCCGCGGGAGAGGCACCATCTTCCAAAGCAAGGCCGGCGCAGCGTCCTGCCCAGCAGGTAAGCTTGTCGGAGAGCGAAGACGAGGAGTTCGACATGATGTCCGAGGCGGCGACCTTTCGGACGGCGCCGACATTGCACGCGGAATCAGCGACCCCCGCTGAGGACGCTGACGGAGGCGGCGGTGCGGGGGCCGCCCCCAGTGCCGCCGCCTCTGATGGCGCCTCGGCGATGCCCGCATCGGCAGTGGTGCCAGTGACGTCGGCCGCCCTGGCAGCGGCAGCCACGTATGCCGACTTCGCCACGGAGCAGCGCCGTGGGCTGGACGCGCCCACCCTCGCGCTCCACAACCTTCAGCTGAGGGAGCAGGCTGTGGGCGGCCGCGGCGGCCGAGGTGCGCGCAGCGCCGCCGACGGCGGTCGCGACGTGGACGACGGGACCGCCAGTGAGGCCCCGAGTGCTGCGACCACGGGTGCCCTCAGCGGTCATGGAAGCAAGCGCCACCGCCGACGCAGCAACAAAGCTGTCTACGGCCAGGCCCCCAGTCGAGCGACGGCAAGGTGTGCCGCGCTCGAAGGTGCAGAGATGATGACGGAGGATGACTACGCGGAGGCGGGCTACGTCCACTGCATGGGCGCGAGCTGGGTTCCGCCGCATCGCCTGGGCTGGTGTCGGAGGTTCACGGAGCTGGACGACTGGAAGGTCATGGCGGTGGAGTACGTGGACGAGCTCAGTTGCGGGGAGATGCGCCGCTATGCGGAGGCCAAAGAGCACAATCAGCAATACCCCGAGCTGAGGAAGGGCAGAGAGGGGCAGTGCAAGCTGTACATGTGCTCGCGCTGCGTGGCGACGGCGCAGAGCGTCTCCGAGCACGAGGCCGTGACGCGCGCTGCGCGCGCGAACAAGGGCCCAGGCTCCATCGACCATGCTGCCAAGCGAGTGGCGGAGTTCCGCGCGAGCTTCGACTACATCAAGCAGGGCGTGGACGTCCTGGTGGGGTTTGCGCTCTCAGAAGAAGGCCTGCTTGCCCTGCGGAGGTCGACGGAGGGCGTGGGGGTGGGCATCGACCCGGAGAGCACGGGCGCCCCCCCTCAGCCACGGAAGCAGTGGCGAAGGAGGTTGGCCGCCCGATGGCGAGGGAGGTGGGGGTGGTGCCAGGGCCGCCCCGTGCGCCACCCCCGCCCCTCGAGGAATAACCTCCCAGTGATGCGGAGAACGACCCCCAGCCCGACATCGACGCTGAGGACCAGGAGCACCAGCTGACCGATGTCAAGACCGTGGAGGAGGTCACGGACATCGAGCCCCTGCTGCGGATCGGCCTCTCCAAGAAATCGCTGAAGCGCATGGCGCGGGCCTATGGCGTCCTCAAATTCGAGACCATGCGCGCCCACGTGCTGGGCGGCCTGGGGCCCATCCTGGAGAAGAAGGAGGACATGGTGAGGGGCGCAGAGGCGCAGGGCGGAGTCCAGAAGTGGCTTGACGCGCTGAATAAGGAGGCGGAGGAGGATGTGGGAAGGCTGAAGAAGGGTGTCCTGGAGGCCTCGGGGATCGCAGACGCCCACCTTGCAAGTGGTCGGCGGAAGCTGCGCAGCGGTATTGATATGTGAATATTTTCTGAACTCCTAAAGCTCGAGAGCCCTGCTCACAGGGCTTCTAAGCACCCGTGCCTCTGAGCGCAAGCGAGGGGGCGCTTGAGCCAGAGACGGTGGCAGGCAACATACATATGGAAAACACAACCCCATTCTCTAACTGAAGCTATGCAATATAATGGACATGAAACACCTGCCACCCTGCTGGACTCACTCACTCATGCTCAGGCTTGCTCGTGCTCGGAATTGCACAGATAAGGGTCCAAGCTGAGCATCCTTGAGTCTACCTCCTCGTCTGAACTGCACTCGGTCATGGCCTCGTATGGCGGGGAGTCGGGGCCCGCAGCTGCATTGACATGGGCTGTGGAACCACATGGAGTCTTCAGAATCCCAACTCCCACGTGTTCGAACGGCTGGATCCCAGCTGCCTTCCTCTTACGCGCACTCTGGTACTTCTCGTCGTAGACTAACCAGCGGTGCCCGTTGTTGAAGTGCATCCGCAGTTGGCCCGGCTTGTGTCCTTACGTCAGCGAGTTGGCGAGCTGAGCATCTCCATGTACCCAGAGCATCCAGTTGTTCGCCGCCTGTGTCCCTTCCTTCAGCGTCATCGCCTCCACGTCAGTCCGTTTCTCCTTGCCCCGGAAGGTGTAGACCGTCGTCTGCAGCTTGTCGTACAGCCCTTTCGAGTCCACAACCACCGCTCCTGGCAGTCTGCGTAGAACTCCCTCGGGACTCCTCCAGTCGATGTTGTTGCCCAGGATCTCCAGCCACTGCAACTTGATACCGAACAGCTCGTCCTCCGCGTCCACAGCTGAGCGTGTCTCACATGCCACGGAACTGCGGCAACCACGATCGATCTTGCCTGATTTCCAGGATATGAGGCTCACGTCCGCCTCGTCACCCTTGAGGATCTTCAGAGGTGCCAGCCCTGCCACCAGGCCCTTCGTGGACTTCCCATCGGGTCGGTTGGCCTCGGAAGAGTCAGACCACTCCACTGGCACCAACACCTGTGACTGAGAGTATCTGTGGATCACCACGGGTAGGTCAGCACATTCACGAACACGATCAACTATTCGGTTGGTCTCGTTGATGGTCTGCACAGTGGAAGAGGGTATCGTACTGAGCAATAGGCTGGTGTCGGCCGAGTGCATGGGGCCTGACTGCTCGGACCTCCACCCGATGGCTCCCAAGATAGCCCTCAGCTGGCCCTTCTCCTTGTCAGTGGTCGGCATGTCCTTGGCCTTCTTGCGCTCTGGGGTGAGGTACGCCTTCTCGATAGTTTTCACGTGCTCGCTCTGATCCATGCGGAAGCTCCTGTCGGGCTGCTGCTTGATCCTCACCCCCGTCTGCATGAACTCTTCCGACTCCCAGGCCTTCCACTTGAAGCGCTTCTCGATCTGCTCCCGGGCGGTGATCCACCTGGGGTCCGCGTCGTTGCCACCGAGCAGGAAGTCGTCCACGTGCGAGCCCGCAATGGCCATGATGTCCAGGTCTCCCTTCGCCGCGATCAGGTCCTCCAGCACTCTTGGGTTCGTGAAATCCTTCAGCGCCTCCTTGGTGAAGCTGTTATCCTTGCCGCGCGCGTCACCGTAGAGCACCCGCACGCAGGGGTCCATCTTCATCTGGGCCCAACCGAACTCCTCCAGCGCCTCGCTCACGGTCATGAACCACTCGATCGCCGCCTCCACGAGCCCGTAGACCGCCTTCCTGAGCCGCATGGCAACGCCCTCGGGCATCCCCAGGGCCGCCGCTAACTCCTTCACGGGCATCACGAATAGGTCATGCTGAATTTCTCGGTCCTGCGTGAAAGCCGCCGTCACGTCCGCCTTGTAGCCCTTGAAGCCCAGCCGCGCCATCGCCTGCAGCACCAGGTGCCTTGAAGTTCTCGTCGTGGTTGGAGCGGTAGTCGGACGGTGCTCGTACTCGGGGTCCATGTAACCCAGAACAACGATCCTCGCCTTCGGCTTCTTCGCGCCCGTGTTCTCGTCCATTTTCCACTCGAGAATCCACCTCATGCGCGTGATGTCCTCAGGAGGCGGGGTCACTCCAGGTGGGGGTGTCTCCAGCACCGAAGACACAATGTAGTTGTTCACCTCCGTGGCCTTCGCTTGGCTGAACTTCGCCATCTCGTCTGGGGTCAACGTCCTCTCCGAAATCTCGCGCTTGCCTTTCCGCAGCTGGCTCGCCATGTAGGTGCTCGTGTGCCTCGTGGCCTGCTTGGGCGGCTTGCCCTCCAATGGAACCTCAACGGGTACCTCCAGCGACGTACCTTGACGAGCCCAAAATGCCCGGGCATCTGGAGTGGACTTCGCCGTGAGGGCCATGCTCTCCTTCATCTGCTCCTCCGCCAGGGCTGCTCGAGACGCTCGAGCTTGGTCGGCTGTTCCTCCTGGATGTTGTCCTTTCTTGATAATCCGCTTCCGCACTGGTGGTGTTGGACGGCTCCCTGAGGTCTGGCCGCCTCCTGCAGCTTGCCCTCGCGTCATTCTCGGTGGGGTCGTGGCCAGTGAAGTCCAGGTACTCGTGGTTCAGCGCCTGATTCATGAAGGTGTGGACCGTCCAGGGCGTGTCCTTGCCCCCCATCAGCTCGGCGCATGCGATCTCCCGTGAGGAAGCCGCTCGGATCTGGCAGAGGTCCACCTTGATGATACGCCCTGCTCTTACAAGCCACACCACGGATCCTGCACGCCCAGGGTGTAGGACACGTCCTTCGCCAAGGTCGCCGTCTACCGGCCGCGCTGTCTCTGTGGCCAGGACCCTCGCGAGCCCCTTGAAGCGGCCCTTGGCTTCGCCCTTCTCCTTCCTGAAGTAGCGCACCCACATGCCTGGCACCGCGGACTTCACCGCCTGATTCTTCGCGTTCTCCGCTCTGCTGAGGCGCCGCATGTAGACCTGCCTCAGGTACTCTTGCTCTGCCGCGTACATCCTGGTGTAGTTCTCCCCGAACTCCTTGTCGACCCTCTGGGCCTCCACGTAGGGCAGCTCGTCAAAGTCGCTCTCAAAGAAGTGTCCGTCCAGGTCTGGTGCCCGTCCTCGGGCGTGTTGAAGGGGTGAGTGTCCTCGAACATCTTCACGTGAGTTTCCAGCTGCGGTCGCCCTTGCCAGGGCTTCCTCCGTCGTCATCCCGGGGTTCTCCGCCACCAGCTTGTCCATGGTCCCCTTGGTGGCCTGGATGGCTTCCTCGGCGAGGGAGATGTGCCAATGGGCCTGGCCAGGTATGGGTTCGTACCCGATGGAGTCGGAATCGAAGTACTCAGCCGCTTGCTTGAACATCCATGATCCCTCGGGGTCTACCTTTACCCTCTGCGACTTGCCGAAGTAGGGCATCCAGCGCTCCTCGTAGAACAACTTGAGGTCCGCCCATACTGGGTTCCTGTGCCGGTCCTCGCCAACCATGTGGTACAGCAGCTTGCTAACTCGCACTCTGCAGTTCTCGTATATGATGGGAAATCTTGGACTTGACCTTCGTCTGCGGGTGCTCCCACTCGAACTGGTCCGCCTGGATGTGCTTCCACTTTGGCGGGATGGCCTCTAAGCTGACGGGCGGATGCGTAGGCTTGAACTTGTTCGCTTCCTCGCATGCGTCGCAGTGGAAGTCCTGGGCCACTTGTAGCACCTGTGGGCTGGCGCCCTTCCTCCGAAGCGCGTTCAGCATGGAGGCCTTCGAGCTGTGACCTGAGCCACGGTGGATCGAGGTGAGCCACTTCATGATCTGCTGGTACTCCTTCGAGTTCACGGCTGTGTTCATCTTCGTCTCCTCCTGGTTGGCTGCCATCGCCTGGTCGATCGCCTCCTCGGGCTCTGCCAAGCACCTCAGGAACTCGTGGTAGTCTGGCGCGGCCTCCTCGATCATCGCACGAACCGCTCGCCTTGCAAACTCGCCCGGGTAGTAGCTGGTGGCCGCTGTGAGACCGCCTTCTGTAAGCTTTCCATGTCGGTGATCTCCTGAGCGCTCCATGGACATCCCAGCGGCCATCTTCGGAGACGTCGTAGCGATCAGCCACTCCTTCAGCAGCGGCAGGCCCTTCTTGTCCTTCACACCGAGCTGGCAGCCTGCCACCTTCACCACAGTCATTGAACAGTCCTCCACCATCTTCCTGATCATCGTGTGACCCCCAGCCCTCGCACTTGATGGGCCACTCCCAGTGTACATGCTTGCCTTGAGCCACCTGGTCGTGCACCAGCTGCACCGCGCCCTTGTACTCCTTGATGGCTTGCAGCCTGCGCTTCCTGGTGGCCTCGGCCCAGATGGGGTTGGAACCGTTGAAGCCGAGGGTAAGGTTCGATAGCGGGCCGCACCTCGTACTGATCCACAGGTGGTCTGGTACGGCTGCATCGCGTGCCTCTCGAGCCCTTTGGTTGCCGCCATTGGTCCCCAGCTTGAAACCATTCCAGGCACTGATGCGACATGCAGCGTTCTCTCCGAACTTCTCCGCCATCTTCGTGCTCAGGATGGACGTTGGGCTGCGTGCGACCTCCATCAGCTTAGTGCCGCCGTGAGCCATCAGCGCCTCGTAGTCCTCCAAGTGGCCGTTCTCCTTGATGCACTTGGCGAGCCAGCGCTGCTTCCTGGGGTCGAGCTCCTTGGTGCAGTTCAGGCCTCTGCCAGACCATTCGGACTGGAACCCATTGGTACGAAGCTCCCGGCGTTGGAACTGGCTGAGCTCGCTTGGCCCTCCAGCTGGCCGATCCTCTGGTTGAGCTGGTTCAGCGCCGCCAGCACCTGCTCCTGGACCAAGCGGTTGGACTCCTTCTCCTCCTTCTGCACCCTGATCGCACCCTCGAGCCTGTCCTGCTCCACGATCTCGTCCTCCATGATCGCGTCCACCGTCCTCCTGCGGGATGACCTCGCGCCCCCCCGAGCCTGGACTGGCTCCTTCGGGACCTCCTTCGGATCCCTGGTCACCTCCGCCTTCTCGTCGATGTTCTCCTGCTCGTTGAGCCATGAGGCAAACCGGGCCAGCTCCCAGCTGCTCTCCTTGTTCGACTCCTTCTGGCACCAGGACGCGTAGGACGGGTACTGGCTCCGAACCTGCTGGTAGGTCATGGCTCCGTGCTTCCCGAAGCCCATGTAGTCGGTCGGCTCTGGTGCGTGCTTCATGAGGATGGCCTTGCGGATCGAGAGCTTGAGTGACGGATTCGTCATGCCGTGTGTCACGTGGGCGCCTACCTCCTCGGCCTTCACCAACAGCTGGGACTTCTTCATCGAGCTGAGGCCCTTCATGGCCACCTGCGCCGGCGTCTCGTCCTTCGGAAACATGTGTCCCTTGAGGGCCTGTTTCAGCTCGTCCACGCCCCAGGCCGGACTGCACGGTAGGCCAAGCTCCTGGAGTAGATGGAGCACCTCCGCCTTGTAGAGGCCCTGCACCGCACTGCGAGACGTTGGCATCTGAAGCGGCCGCATTGCACGAGCATGCGATCCTGGCGCAGGTGAGCTGGACCGCCCCGCGGATGAGGTTACCCCAGCGCATTCCTTTGTTGACATCGACGGCCTTCGGCCTGAGATATGAAAGATCTGGTGGATCTGGAACTGCTGGTGGCTGGATGCCGTCGGTCGCTGTCGACTCGAGTGAACTTGCCTGGCTCGAGCCCGAACGGCTATGGAAGTGCAGCTGGGCTCTCTGGTTCGCCTGGGATGCTGGGTGAGCTCCGCGATCCATCGTGGGGCTAACCTGAGACGGCACCTGACCTTTGTGAGGAACTGTGGCTCTGAGGTCTGGCGCGGGGCCCAACTGAGGCTGTGACCGAATGTCATGATGAATTCCGCAGCCAACTGTGGGGTACCCATGATCACAGGACTGACCTCTGCACGCACCTGCTGATCCGATTGGAGACTCATCGAGGACAACGCTGTGATCCGATTGAGATGGATACATGTAGCGCTCCAACTGCTCAGCCCGAGTATCCGAGCTGCTGTCTGGCCTCTGGCACACTGCGGCCACTGGCCTGCTGTCCCACTCACTGATGTTCTCGCAGATGGTCTTGAAGTTTCGCAGCTGGTTCTGGTCCCTGACGCGCTGCTCCAGCAAGTCGTCAACCAGGCTCATGTAGTAGTGTCCTCCATCAGGTGACTCCTCCAGCTGAACGGGGATGTCCGGTGCGAGCTTCACGAACACGGTCACCCCAGTCTCGCAGTCCACGACGGCTCCCAGCTTCCTTAGAACCTTCTTGGACACCAGGATCGGACCTTCTTGGAACCTTCTTTAGAACCTTCTTTAGAACCTTCTTCGAGAAGCCGTTGATGGCGATATCGCCCTCCATGCCCGCGCCCGCGATGCCGAACTTCACCTGTCCGTAGGCGCGTTCCTTCTCGCCGTTCCCGAAGCTATAGACTGGCCTGTAGTCCCGGTTCACATCCAGCAGCCTGGTGTCGCCATACTTCTCCATGTTCTTGCGGGCCACGATGTCCAGCGCACGCTCACCACCCATGGCGTCCGCGCACCCTAGGTCGACGATGCCCTTGCCCTCGCGGATGGCCTGAACCAGGAACATCGCCTCGCACTCCACGTCCTGAGGCTCCTGCTCGGCGACCAGCGAGGCCGCGAGGTTGAACTTCAGCTCCCTTCTGCACTCAGCTACCTTCGCGCTTGCCTCTGGCGTGCCAGCAGCTCCTGGCCGGAGCCGGGGGTCATGACGGTCCTGGCAGTCCTGAACCCAGTGAGCTCCGCCACACTTCGCGCACTTCTTCTGGCCCTTGTTCGGCGGCAAGATCTGGCCCCTACCTCCTACCTGGGGAGGAAGTGGTCGGCGTGATCGCGCTGGGAACCCCTTGCCTGACCCCTTCGGTGCTGGCCGTCCTCCCCGGTAAAAGCCCCTGCTCAGCCGGCTGTCGGCCTGGGCCTCCCGAGCCTGGCGGAGGGTGCGCTGGGCGGTGTGAATCGCCGCAAGCGCCTCCGCCTCCTCCTGCTGAGCTGCCAAGTACGTCTCGATCTCGTCATCGTTCGCCTCCTCCTGGCCTGGGTCTTCCTCCTGCCACTCGTAGTTCTCCACGTCGGCTGCGAAGCTGCTCGCGTCTGGTCCATCCTCTCCGCCAAGCCACGTACGATCATCTTCTCCCAGCTGGGCTGTGTACGCCTTCGGGAACCTCGAGTGCCCGTCGCGCTCCGCCAGGTCGTCGTCCTCCCAGCTCGAGATCAGCTTCTCCCGGATGATGTTGACTTCCAGCGAGCCGCCCGTCGCCGTCACGATGGCAGCCCTCTCGCGCGAGTCGAGCCCCGACCGCGCGAGCATCAGCCAGCCCAAGACCAGGCTAGGGAACACCTCCGACATTTCCCCGAGCTCCTCCTCGGCGTCCGCGTCTTGGTCAGCAGCGCTCCAGTGGTGCGACTCCTCTTTCTCGTCGTCTGGCAGGCCGTCCGTGTACTCCCACGTCCATTCGCTACCCTCGAATGGCCAGTCACGTTCGACCTCGATCCAACGGTAAGGTCGCCCGGACCTCTTCCACGGTGGCGCGACCTGAACTGGAACTGTGTGTCCGAGCGCGCGTGCCAACGCGCGCCTGAGGTACTGGTGCCCGGTCTCGAAGCGGTCCGTCCACAGCTGCATCGGCTCTAGCTTGCGGCGTTTCGTCTTGATCAAGAATGTCTCTAGCTCCTGGCCGACGTCGGGCACAGCCTGTCTAGAGCACCTGCGCTCCAGCCACGCTAGGAGCCGCTCCACGCCGTCGGGCCTGGAGAGCCAGCCAGCCTTGCAGCGCTCGACCGCGATCTCGGCCCGGCTCGTGAGCTTCGCCTCCAGCCGCGGGCCGCACAAGTACCTGTCCTCCTTCTTGGTGCCCTCCTGGTACTGGAGGGCCTTCCGCTTGTACGTCCGCCAAGTCTTGGGATCCCCATCCCAGCTTGGCACCTTGCCTCGATGATCCTCGGTCATCGTATTCAAACTCCGTGTCAACCACGTGCTCCTGCTACCATGCAAGTAGTCGGCGGAAGCTGCGCAGCGGTATTGGTCTGTGAATCTGTTCTGAATTCCTAAAGCTCGAGAGCCCTGCTCACAGGGCTTCTAAACACCCGTGCCTCTGAGCACAAGCGAGGGGGCGCTTGAGCCAAAGACGGTAGCAGGCAAAATACATATGGAAAACACAACTCCATTCACTAACTGAAGCTATGCAATATCATGGAACATGAAACGCCTGCCACCCTGCTGGACTCACTCACTCATGCTCAGGCTTGCTCGTACTCGGAATTGCACACCTGGGGCACAAACGTCCCTGGAGGGAGGAGCGCCAGGGCAACACCGCGGCGCAGGAGGCCTACCGCCGCAAGGGCGACTACACGGACCAGTTCTACCGTGGCAAGGGCTTCACGTTCAACATGTACTACAAGTGCTCGGCCAACAAGACCTGGGACAATCCCAGGGGATGCTGCTCGGTGATCCGATCGGATCGCTGGTCACAGCTGCTCTCATGCGCACAGGAGGCGGCGGGAGAGACGGGCCAGCGCTGGTACTGCCACTGCGGTGCGCGCTACTCGACCTCCTACGGAGTCTGCATCGAGTTCATAAAGGAAGAGTCGGACCCGCCATGCGCGTACTACATGCACGCGGAGCACCCCGAGGAGGACATCCGTGACTTGACGGCCTTGCTGCGCTACGACAAGCTCAAGAAGGAGGGGATTTCAGTGGTCAGCGCGGTGGACCTCCTGAGGTACCTGCCCAAGGTCGAGCCGCTGGCGGTGGGCACCGTCTTCAAGCGCTACGCTCCACACCAGCCACAGTGGGAGGGCCACTACGTGCTGATGGAGGGGCTCACCTGGGAGAGCCTGGCCAAGTTCGAGTGGGCCGACCTTTACGCGCAGGTCGCCTGGGGACTGACCGACCCAGAGTGGGCGGGCTACAGCAAGAAGGCGCGGAACAAAGCCAAGAGGGAGCGCCTGGAGATGGCGCACAGGGAGCTGGCGCTCTACGAGCGCCGCCACAACCTGCGGGAGGGCAGCCCCTCGGGCGGCGGGGGTGGCACAGGGGTCGCCCCGCGTGCCACCCCCGTTCGCGCCGCCAGCGCCCCCCCCCAGCGGGCGGGGCCCGCGACGGCCAGGGCCCGCCCCCACCGCCTGTCGGAGTCCCGCCAGAGGCCGCGGCCATCATGGCCCCCCCGCCGCCGCCGCCGACGGCGCCCCCTGAGGTGCCGCCGCCGCCGACGGACCCGCCGCCGCAGACGGACCCGCTCTCGCAGCAGATCCCAAATGCTGCAGCCTTGAACGTGGCCCTTGGTGAAGACCTTGAGCGCCAGATCTTTGGGCGTGCAGGGCAGGCGGGGGGCAGTGGCGACCTCGGTGGGGAAGTGCGGGCGCTGCCGGCGCAGGTCTTTGCGGCCGTTGCGCAGGGAGCAGGCCAGCCGGCCTGAATGATAACGCCCATCAGGTTCCAGGGCCTCGTCAGGCCACGTGAGTCCATGCCAAGTTGTCTTGCTAGCCACTTTCAGTAGGGCGGCGTGCCCACAGTGGCACTCCCCTCGCGTGGCTGCACCTGTGGCTTTAGCCTCGGCTCGGCGCATGGCGTGCCATCTCGGCCTCTTCACGTTCACTTGCGCTCGTTGGCCTCGCTGGCGGTGCTGGGGCAGCCCCGTGTACTGCTGCGTCGCCGTCGGGCGCCTGGCCATTTTGGCCTGCCATCCTGGCCTCCTCTCGCGCCTTCTAGCGCTAGTAGGCCTTGATGGCGGTACTGGGGTCGCCCCGTGTGCTGCTGCGCCGCCGCCAGCGCCTTGCTTTTTGCTGTAGGGGCCAGCTGCCCTCGGCCAGGCGCCTGCTGCTGCGCGTACGTCAGACCCGCCCTTGGCTTGCCATCCTGGCCTCGTCTCGCGTCTTCTCGCGCTAGTTGGCCTGGGTGGCGGTGCTGGGGTCGCCCCGTGTGCTGCTGTGCCGTTGCTGGCGCTTCACTTTGGGCCGTTGGACCAGCTGCCCACAGGACAAGCGCCTGACGCTGCAAGCATGTCAGACCCGCCCTTTCACCCAGAAGAGGTGCGCGCTACATACTGGCAATGAGGCAGCCACATGGACGCTCTTCCCTAGGTGGTTGAGCCGTGGTGATGTGGTGCACGAGACCGCCAGTAGTAGTAGTAGTAGTAGTAGTAGTAGTAGTAGTAGTAGTAGTAGTAGTAGTAGTAGTAGTAGTAGTAGTAGTAGTAGTAGTAGTAGTAGAAGAAGTAGTAGTAGTAGTAGTAGTAGTAGTAGTAGTAGTAGTAGTAGTAGTAGTAGTAGTAGTAGTAGTAGTAGTAGTAGTAGTAGTAGTAGTAGTAGTAGTAGTAGTAGTAGTCGTAGTAGTAGTAGTCGTAGTAGTAGTAGTAGTAGTAGTAGTAGTAGTAGTAGTAGTAGTAGTAGTAGTAGTAGTAGTAGTAGTAGTAGTAGTAGTAGTAGTAGTAGTAGTAGTAGTAGTAGTAGTAGTAGTAGTAGTAGTAGTAGTAGTAGTAGTAGTAGTAGTAGTAGTAGTAGTAGTCGTAGTAGTAGTAGTAGTAGTAGTAGTAGTCGTAGTAGTAGTAGTAGTAGTAGTAGTAGTAGTAGTAGTAGTAGTAGTAGTAGTGGTAGTAGTAGTAGTGGTAGTGGTAGTGGTAGTGGTAGTGGTAGTGGTAGTGGTAGTGTAGTGGTAGTGGTGTAGTAGTAGTAGTAGTAGTAGTAGTAGTAGTAGTAGTAGTAGTAGTAGTAGTAGTAGTAGTAGTAGTAGTAGTAGTAGTAGTAGTAGTAGTAGTAGTAGTAGTAGTAGTAGTAGTAGTAGTAGTAGTAGTAGTAGTAGTAGTAGTAGTAGTAGTAGTAGTAGTAGTAGTAGTAGTAGTAGTAGTAGTAGTAGTAGTAGTAGTAGTAGTAGTAGTAGTAGTAGTAGTAGTAGTAGTAGTAGTAGTAGTAGTGGTGGTGGAAATCCCTAGGAATCCCAGGCGTTCAAGTGAATCCATCGGAATCCTAAGAGAGTTCTTGGACTCCTACGAATCTCAGGGAATTCCGAGGAATCTTTTTCTAGGATTCCAGAGGGGTTCTGGGAATCCGATCCTGAGAAGTTCGTCAAGATCCTGAGGAATCCGTGGGGGTCCTTAGGAATCTTAGGGCTCCCGAGGAATCCTTAGGAACCCCAGCAGTGGCCGCCTCGGGAGGGACATTATTTTCCCAGCATCGTTTTCGGTCCCACTCCGTCAGCAACCCCGCGCAAAGCAATAATCGGTTTCCATTCTAGCAGGGGGGGGTCATGCAAGGCCCTTCTTCCTCTCTCTCTCTCTCTCTCCTACTCCTCCTACTCCTCCCCCCCCTCCTCCTGACTCCTCCTTCTCCCTACCCCTCCTTCTCCTCATCTTGCCCGTCCTCCTCCTGACTCCCTCCTTCTCCCATCCCCTCCTCCTCGCCGCTCGTGGCTCCCCAGGGCTTCGATCCGCCACCCCCCTCCCTCCCCCTGCCGAGGGGCCGCAGAGAGCGCAGCCGCTCGCGCGGCCGCCGCCGCGGCGGGGGCGGTCGCCGGGGCGACCGCGGCAGGCGCGCGCCCGCGCGCGCCTCCGCGCCAGTGCCCCCGGGCGCTGCTGGTGCTGCCGCCGACGCCGCTGGTCTAGATCTGCACTAACGAAATGGGTACGGAAGGAATGGGTACCATGCCCAGCAGCAGTGCCTGTTCATTTTGAACAGGACTCGCTGTCCGCGCCGCCGCGGCCTGTGTCCAGCTGAGACAGAAGGGCGCCTGCCCAACAGCGGCCGCTGATGGTTTGGGACAACATTTGTTGTTGGGCATTGTACCCATTCTTTCCGTGTCCATTTCGGGCGTCCAAATTCGAATTCCCACATGGGGTCCGAGTAGGTGGGGTCAGAGGATCGCGCCGCATCGCCGATACGTCGGCGGTGCGGCTCGATGCAGAGCCCGACGTTCGCCGCGCCGGCGCCGCCGATGCACCACCGACGTCCTCGATGCATCGCCAATGCAGCCTCGATGCATCGCCGATGCATCACCGATGCGGTGCAATCCTCCGACCCCATCCACTCAGACCCCATCTAGGAGGCCTCTAGCTGGGCCGCTGGGCGCCGCTGCCGACGCTGCCGCCGAAGGGTGCCGCCGCGAAGAGGGCCAGAGGCCGCCTCCGCGGTTGCCTCGAGGCCGCCCCGGGTTTTGGGGGAGTCGTCCGCCTTGAAGGATCGTTATTGTCTTGGCACCCCTCAGACCTGTGCAGGCGGTTCTCTCGGCCACGCGCAGAGGGCGTCAGGGGGAGGGGGGAAGGCTTCTTAGAAGCACCCCTACTCCTTAGAAGGGTCTGGCCTTCTCTATCATGCAATGCCGGCGCCTTCTAAGAAGCAGCCCCCTTTCTAAGAAGCTTTCCCCCCTATCCCTACCCCCCTCTGCGCGCCGCCAATCGTTGGCGCGGCCCATCGAGTAGCATCTTGGACCATCTTGCGACGGAGCACAAACGCACGACATCGAGACATGCACTGGGAATGGACGCCCCAGCGGTGGCGAGATGGTCGATGCCCGTGTGCGGTGCCAATCTGCTGTGTTTTCAGTTTGAGTGCGCCCCTGGACGCTGGCACCCTGCTTCTGTTGGGTGCAGTCTCTCGCCACTCAGGAATTGCTCTTTCGCCCATCAGTTTACGTAGGAATCGCGCTCTCGCCCGAGGCACTCTCACGAGTTAGTCAGGATTCACGATTGAATCTCCCGCTCGCTCGACCTGCCCGTTAGGGCCCGCCAGGCCCGCCCGTTAGGGTTCCCCCGCTCGCTTAAGTAGAACACCGCGCGCCCGCTTTGATTTCCCACCCGCCTGACCCGCCAGTCAGGGTCCGCCCGCCCGACCCTCATGTCAGGATCCACCCTCCCGACCATGCTGTCAATCTTTGTTTGGATTTACCCATTGGGTCGTCATGTAAAGATCCCCCAGCAATGGGTACATTCATAAGAATTGCACCATCCGCCACCGTGTCTGGGTTGTAAATCAGAGGCCTCCTGAATTGGTTTTGGGGCCTCTTGGGATGCCATCAAGGGCCTCTTGGAGTGCTATTGGGGGCCCCCTAGGGTATCCTTTGGAGCCTGTTGGGACCTCTTGGGGGTCTTTGGGGCGTCCGGGAGACCTCTTGGGGGCGCCTCGGGGGTATTTGGGGGGGCGTGGTACAGCACGCTCTGCAAAGCCCACCTGGTGCCATAGCGCGCCGTTGCGAGCGTACAGCCGATTTGTTAGAACGATGCCTGGCTCCAATTCCTTACCAGGTTCGTGGATCCCTCAAGTTGTGCGTCGTTGGGGCGGATATTCTTGCAGCGCGGAGAACGAAGGATGACGACGACAAGGATGATGATATCGATGACGTTGACGATGACGATGTCCATCGCCATGACGATGACGAATGCGATGACGATGGTGCTGCTGATGATGACTGTGATAATGTGGTTGATGATGATGCTGGTGATGACTCTGATGCCCATGCTGATGATGATGCTGAAGGTGACTGATGCTGCTACTGCTGCTACTGTTGCTGATGAGGATGATGATGATGGTGACGACGACGATGATGCTGATACTGATGACGATGATGCTGATGCTGATACTGATTTGGATGCTGATGCTAACGCTGTTGATGATGATAATGCTGATGCTGATGATGCTGCTGCTGATTATGATGGTGGTACTGCTGCTGCTGATGATGCTGATCATGGCGATGATGATAATGCTGCTGCTGCTGTTGATGATGATGATGATGATGATGATGATGATGATGATGATGATGGTGGTGGTGGTGGTGGTGGTGGTTATGATGATGCTGATTACGACGATGATGCTGATGCTGCTGATGATGCTGATGATGATGCTTCTGCTGATGATGATGGTGATGGTGATGGTGATGATGCTGATGATGCTGATGATGCTGATGATGATGATAGTGATGATGATGATGATGATGATGATGATGATGATGGTGGTGGTGGTGATGATGATGATGATGATCATGATGCTGGTGATGATGATAGTGATGGTGATGCTGATGATGGTGATGCCGCTGATGACGACGACGATGATAACGATGTGGCCGAGAAGACTTGCCATCGATGTTGGAATACGCCCTCCCTGTAAGCCACTCTTCGTAGGCCCCTGCAAGGAATCATTTCCATTGGGTGACAACCGTTTGAAGATCCTGAAGCGTACCAAAACACCGTTCTTGGGACTCCAACGCCACGACTCAATCTGTCTGTTGGAGCGTACTTCTTTATTGCCTGGTCTATCGCGCGCGTTATGGCTCCCAGCTCCCCCCCATAACGTAACGCTCCCCCCCCAGTGCACCCCCGGCAACGCCGCCGTGCGCATAGGGATCCGCATTAGGTGGCGAATAGGGATCCGCATAGGCATCCGCATAGAAATCCGCACAGGGATCCGCCCGCATAAGGATCGCATAGTGATGTCCATCGGGATCCGCAAAGGGATCTGCATAGGCATCCGCATTGGGATTCTCATAAGGATCCAAATACGGACCCGCATAGGAGGGATCCGTTTAGAGATCTGCGAAGGAATCCGCATGGGGATCCGCATAGGGATCCGCATTCGGATCCGCATACGGATCCGCATGGCAATGCGTACGGATCCGCATACGGATCCGCACAGGTGTCTCCCTAGGAAACCGCATAGGGATCCCAATCGGGATCTGCATAGGGATCCGCACGGGCATTCCCATAGGGATCCGCATAGGGATCCCAAACGGGATCCGAATAGGGATCCGCGGTGGTCGCGGGCAAGTTGCGATACTCTCAGGCACGTGTGGTTTTCTTAAGAACAGGAGCAAGAAGAGGAGAAGGACGACGACGACGAAGGAGGAGGGAGGAGAGGAGCGTACCTCTTTGTATGCCACGTGGAGGCAGCGACGCTTTCGCAGGCATGTCCTCTCTACAACTCGTCTCTTGCAATCGTCGCTCTTCGTCGTCCTCGTCCCCGTCGTCGTCGTCGTCGTCGTCGTCGTCGTCGTCGTCCTTGTCGTCGCTCGTCGTCGCTCGCCGTCTCTCGTCGTCGTTGAACGTCGTCGCCGCCGTCGTCGGCGTCGTAGGCGGTCGTAGTCGGTCGTCGTCGTCGTCGTCGTCGTCGTCGTTGTCGTCTTCGTCGTCGTCGTCTTCGCCAAAGTCGTCATCGGTCGTCGGTCGTCGTCGTCGTCGTCGTCGTCGTCGTCGTCGTCGTCGTCGTCGTCGTCGTCGCCGTCTTCGTCGTCGCCGTCTTCGTCGTCTTCGTCGTCGTCGCTCGTCGCTCGTCGCTGATCGATCGTCGTCGTCGTGGGGCGCGGACGCTGCGGTGGTGTCAGAAGCACACTGCTGGGGGGGGGGCGTTATGTTATGCCCCCCCTCCCAGCCACCCCCCCCATAACGCCCTTCGTCGCCGCGACTAAAGACACGGGCTCTTGCGTCTTGACGACGGTGAAGGAGGAGGAGGAGAGGGCAACGTTCGCATGACCTTCATGCCATTAGGAACCGGGGACCAGGAACCAGGAACCAGGATGAGGAGGAGGAGGAGGACGAGGACGAGGATGAGGAGGATGAGGAGGATGAGGAGAAGGCGGAGGCGGAGGCGGAGACGGAGGCGGAGGAGGAGGAGGAAGAAGAAGAGTGATGATGATGATGTTGCTGCTGCTGATAATGATTATTATGATTATGATGATGATGATGCTGATGATGATGATGATGATGATGATGATGATGATGAGGGGGATGAAAATGAGGATGATGATGCTGATGCTGCTGATGATGATGATGCTGATGCAGATGATGCTGCTGATGATGATGTTGCTGATGCGAATGCTGATGCTGATGCTGCTGATGCTGATGCTGACGAGGATGACGATGCTGGCGATGATAAGGATGATGATGATGATGATGATGATGATGATGATGATGATGATGATGATGACGATGCTGTTGATGATGATGCCGATGATGCTGATGATGATTGTGCTGCTGATGATAAATGCCGATGATGAGGATGCTGATGATGCTGATGGTGATGATGCTGATGCTGATGCTTTCGATGCTGCTGCTGATGATGATGCTGCTGATGATTCTGATGATGCTGATGATGATGCTGATGACGACGACGCCGACGATGATGATGATGCTATGCTGTTGATGATGATGGTGAGTCTGCTGATACTGGTGCTGATGCTGCTGCTGATGATGATGCTGTCGATGATGATGATGAGGCTGTTGATAAAGATGACGCTGCTGATGATGCTGATGTTGATTATGATGCTACTACTGATGCTGATGATGGTGAATCTGATGATGCTGCTGCTGATGATGATGATGATGGTCATGATGATGATGATGATGATGATGATGATGATGATGATGATGATGATGCTGAAGATGCTGATGATGCTGATGATGCTGATGATGCTGATGCTGATGCTGATGATGATGCTGCTGCTGCTGATGCTGGTGATGCTGATGATGCTGAGGAGGACGAGCAGGAGGAGGAGGAGGAAGAGGAGGAGATGGAGGAGGAGGAGGAGGAGGAGTGATGAGGAGAAGGGAGAGGATTGGGTTGGCGGTACCCGCCTTCGACCCTGCAGTTGATAACCCTCGTATTTGGAGTCCCAAGATGGCCTTTCCAGGATTCACCAACAAGCAGTGGAGCTATCAACAATCTCTTTTTCCTGCTATTATCTGGTATTTCGCTCAGCTACGACGGGCAGCGGATGATACGGCCAAGGCACCTCTTTCAGTTTCATGGGCTGAACTGGCACTGGATTTCAGCATTGCGACTGGTCTGCCTCTTGTAACCCCTGAAGGGAATCCCGAGACGGCAACGCTTGAGCGCATGGCGAGATACTTCTCGACAGCAGCAGCCCGCGTTTCCTTACTCTGTGAATGTAGACTGGCACCAAGAAAGTTATTTGTCACATGTTGTTCTTTACCGCCTTTGGGGATCAGACAGGTTCCAGGCTTTTCATGTAGACCGACCTTCATCAACCATGACCTCACGATGAAGACGCGTTATGCCGTGGCATTGTCAACTACCGAAAAGAACGCAGGTAGTGCCGCCTTTGTTGCTCGGGAATCTGGTAGTTATCGTAAGCGCAAACACAACTCCACGGCGATGGGTGTTGACAGAACGACTGCGGAGTACACGGAACAAGAGCTACGATACCTTCAAGGTTTGCAGGGTCGTCAGAAGCCGTTGGAAGAAACAATGGGTAATTGCACAACCGAGAAGCGCGTCAACAAGGTTATCACACTCTTGCCCCACTGTACGGCACGAGCAAGAAACACGATCCCCTCTTGAAGTGTGTGACCTGTGGTAAGCAGACCAGGACAATCACCATTACTGCGTGGGCTCGGATGTTGTGTTGCCGCGATGACTATCGAGGACCACACCCAACTGGCCAACGACGTAAGCTGGAGGATTGGAAGAAGCTCGTGGAGGAGCACAATACGCGTACCGCGATTCCTGGCAACAGGTGTCATGCACTCTCTCCATTTCGCGCAGACAACGTTGATCAAGAACTCGAGTGTGTACATTGTAAGCAGGTTCCCCCAACACGTCGTGAACAGTTTTGTGCCGCGATGTGCGGCAAACGGTAATATGAATATTATGAGGCGCTACATATTGATACGGATCTTTGATGCTGTATCTCGGTGCGCGGCAAAAAAAAGGTTACGAACTACTTCGTGAACAGCGATATGTATGGTAAATGTTACGATGTTCCTCTTTGGTGAATGTTGTTGATGTTCTTGTTTTTCTGAACATAATGATTGTGCTGACGGAAGTCTTGAACAACATTATAGGCATGGTAAACCCACTGAGAAGGTTACAGCCATCGGGTTTTCGGAGATGGTGTATGTGCCGACCTCCCTCGTGTACAGCATCATCGGCTTAACGTTGTTGGCGGTACACTTGTTTGTGCTGTTGACTATCTACCATTATTCTATTCACTGCGGTCGAGGCCAAGGTGAACAACACCAGAGCAGAGAGGAAAGGATTGCGTTGGGGGCGCTGTAGGAGGAGGGAGGGATGTTGAAACGGGGAATGATGAAGGACGAGGAGGACGAATCGGGGGAAGAGAGGCGGGGGAAGTGAATAAGAGGAGGAGGAGGACGACGACGACCCGAACGTCCACCGCCAGGGACCGCGACCGCGGTCGCGACCGAGACAGGCGCGGCTCCCGTCGCGATAGGCGCCCCAGCTGCCGCCCGCCAGCTTCCCCCCCCCATCCCCCGCGGACGCAGAGGCCAGCAGGAGGAGAGTTGACGGGGGGGGAGGACGGGGGAGTACAGCTGGAACAAAGGTTAGGAGCAGCCCTGTTTGGGCTCTCCACCCTTGAGTGGCTTTCATTCGGCGTATCTCCATGGGGCCTTCGGTGGCTCGCGGCGTAGGGTCCCGTGCTCCGGGTGGACGTTCACGTGTCGATGTTTCGACTGCGTTGAAGGGTCTGCCCCGCAGAAGGAGCGAAGAACAGCACATTGAATGGACATTAGCTTTCGCAGGTCCGCGTAGGTGAGACTCAGCTAGTCATTAAATCCAGCTTAAGAAGCGCGATTTTTGTTGGATTTGTGCTGCACCCCCCTTGGCGGCGCCTCTGGCGCCGCCCACTTGCGCGCTCCACGGTCCGCGCGCAGGGGACAGTGGCCCTCCGAATGTTCATGCTTATTCCGCTTTGCTTCTTCTGCAGAGGAGGAGGAGGAGGAGGCGGAGGAGGAAGAGGAGGAAGAGGAGGAGCAGGAGGAGGAGGAAGAGGAGGAGGAGGAGGAGGAGAAGGAGGGGGAGGACCCCCTCCCCCTCCTACTTCTGGTGGTGGCGGTGGAAAACGAGCCCACCATGCATGCACTGCCAACTTTAGCTCGAAGTGGCCCGCCGCCACCGCCTGGGGCAACCGGGCGCGCCGACGATGTGATCTCGCGCTGCCGGGCGCCGCGTGCGCTCCAAGCCAGGCGAGAAGGCGCTCGGCGTGCGCAGCGTCCGCCGACGTGCGCCTTGTGTGGTTCGTGGTCGAGGTGTTCGAAGCGTGCCCAGGTCCAAGAAAGCAATGAGCACATGTGTCATGCTGACTCGTTTCCCATTGGCAGATGATCCTCCGCTCGTCTGTCGATCATGGAAACGTCTGCCCACGCGGGTCAGTCAGGGTTCCCGTGCTCTGGGCAGAAGACAGAGGAGCCTTTCTCCAAGTACACGCACGGATATGACTAGGCTTGCGCGGAGAAGCAGAGGAACCGAGCAGGAGGTAGAGGGGCGGATTGCATGAGGCTAGACCTTAGGGCTCGGCGTAGGCTCAGGGAACATGCCCGGAGGTCATGCTTCGGTTCGCTGCCTCTGCAGCCTGTGCTCTCGAAGTGCCAGTGAGCCCAGCGTTTTCCAACACAAGGGATCCCTCGACCCAGTTGCACACATCAACGCCCTAAGATATAGAAGGCGAACTGTGACAGTGCCAGCAGCCGAAAGATGCCAACCATCCTGGCCACTCGAGCTGCGTCCACGGGGACGGCGTGAGGGGGGATGGGCTCAGAGGGGATGCATCGAACCCCAATGGCCCATGCATGGCCGATGGGGGCCGACACCCTGGCCCGCCCACGAACATGCCGTCTTGCTATCGGGGGCCTACCGCCGATGTGTCGGCGATGTATCGCCGATTCACGCTCGATGTTTCCCCCCTCAGCCAGTCCACCCCTATCGTTCCCCCCTCACGGCAGCGATAACCCCCACGAACGCCCCAGCAGAGACTCCGAGACGACGAAGACAGCGGCGGCTGCGTCTGTGCTGCCTCCCGCCAGGGAACGCGACGACGGAGGCCGTGGTGGGGGCGAGGACACCGCCGCGCCCAGCCGTCGTCGTCGATCGATCGAGGTTCAGGGTTGGAGAAGGGCTTTTGGTGCATTCGGCGTCTGGAGGCGCGTTTCGAGCCCCGGGGCCGTCAGAACTCGGTCCAGGATCGAAACCCAGTCGGGCTGAGACTCGTCAGGGGCCGGGGGACCGATTCTGAACGGATTTTGAAAAGGGGTGAGGGCGAGGACGAGGAGGAGGAGGAGGAGGAGGAGGGTGCGATCCGGTTTACTTTTTTGGGTGGTGCTGTTCACTTTGGTGGCAGGTTTACTTTTGTGGGTGGTCTGGTTTGTTTTGGTGGTTGGTTTGGTTTACTTTGGTGGGTGGTCTGGTTTACTTTGTTGGGTGGTGTGGTCTACGTTGGTGAGTGGTCCGGTCTTCTGTGAGGGTGGTCTGGTTTGTTTTCTTGGGTGATCTGGTTTACTTTGGTGGGCATTCTTGTCTACTTTTGTGGGTCTGGTTTGCTTTGGTGGGCTGCCTGATTTACTTTGGTGAGTGGTCTGGTCCGTCTTGGCGGATTCTGCCCACGCTCTTCTTCACCTGCGGGGACGGGTTTACTTTTTCCCCTCCCCCCCAGGGGAGAAGGGATGGGGGATGGGAATGGGGAGGAGGAGGACATGAGGATGAGTAGAAGGAGGAGGAGGAGGAGGGATACGGGGTAATGAGAGGGAGGGAGGAGGATAGCGAGAAGAGGAGTAGGGAAGATGAGAAGGGCGGGAGGGGCAGGGACACTTCTACATTCACGCCGCCGTCACGCGTTGTTGGCGACTGCGCTGGGCGAAAGCGGATGCCCGTTACATATTAATTTCTGCATTGACAGACAGATCAGGCGTGCCAATCCCGTGCCCCCGACGGTGTTGCCGCCACATCGAGCATTCCATTACCATCTAGCTCGTGTCCCCTTTACTGGCAGACTTGCGCGACACGGCGTGTGCCAGGCTTGCTCCGCCACGTCGTTTTCTCTGCGCTTTTCTTTGGATGTCTCTTCGAGTGTCGGAGTTCTGTGCGCTCGCAAACATTGAGCATTCCATGAGTAGTGAGCCGGATGCACGAGGAGCGCCAAAGGAACGATCCGTGGGAGGAATTATCATGGCATGTCGATCTCTCTCCGAAGTCAGGGATGCTCGTGCTCCAACACTTTGGTTGTAAACAATGAAGGCAATGACTGCGTTGGTAGATGTCCCTCGCAGTCAGGCAGCCCACAACTACTACTGATTTCGCTGCAGAGCGAACAGCCATGGCAAGACGCCACCGCCGCCCCTGCCACAGCACTCGCACGCCTGTTGTGAAGTGTACATGGCGGCTCCACACCTGCTCAGCATCATATTCTTGCGCAACAGGTTGGACCAATTCTTCACCCACGCAGTTGAAACAGAGCGCATGCCATGTGTCCTATCGGATTTTGACCATCGCACGACTACAAGCCTCGGCGGATGGGCGCTCGTCGTGCACGGCAAAACAACTAGACTGATCACTCAACAATGTGCCCGTCTCTGTACTGACAGCAGCTTCAACGGAAATTATAACAGCCGTTTCAATGGCAACACACGCTCCAAGAGGGACCTCCTCCTCAAGGGCATCGTCAGTGTACCTGGCAACGCCCGCAACATCTATACCCACGAGCAGCCTCATATCCAATCGTGATCAAACACGTGTGAGACCAGTGTCAGCTTTCATTATTCACCAGGATGTTTTCAGTTTCCAGGTCACTCACCATTTCAAGAGGAGTTTCTTCACTTCTCCATGGCAGCAACTGTTTCATGGGAAGCCGTTGGTTCAAGCGCAACGGCGGCTTCAATGCGCTGAGGGTCCACTACACACTTTTCATGGGCATCCTAAGCGACGACGCCAGTGGGAGCTTGCTACGACAACTTTAAGCTCACTCTTACGGCAAAGCTCAGCTTCAAGGGCAGCCGGCGGTCATAGTCGGGATCCCGAGTGAGCACATGAGCGAGTCCATTGGGAACCCAACATGTACGAGTGCACCACAAGGACGACGTGTTGACTCGGCCCGCCCATCACGAGGTGGCCCGCCGCCGAATGCCCAATCCCAGGGCCCACGAACTGGCCAGGGGTCATGCAGATGCTCGAGACTCACAGCGAAGCAGAATGGGAATGCCCAGCCGACCAATACGTCAAGCAGTGGCGAAGCGCCCTGGCTCGCCTATAGCCCTACCAAGTAATGTTCCATGAACCTTTTGACGTTCCCACGAAATGTTCTTAGAACATATCTGGCTGGGACTGTCTTGTTTTATCACATCAGGCTTATGCTCTAAGAACATAGTTTCTGTTCTCAGAACTTTTTTGGGCTCTAAGAACATTTCGTGGTAGGACTATAGGAATGCTGGGACGGTCGGTCCCTGCTCAAATGCGGTCGATCTGCACACGAGCCCGGCGTACACTCTCGGCATGCTGGCCGCGGCGGCCTCGCCGAGCCTCGCCTCGCCTCGCGGGCGTCGGAGCGATCTCGCAGACGTGGCGGCGTGCGGGCGGCCTCCGTCAAGCACAGCGGCGTGGGGTCCGTGGGAGGCAGGCACCACGTATCGGCACGAACGGAATGGGTACGGAAAGAATGGGTACGATGCCCAACAGCAGATCCTGTTCATTTTGAACAGGGCTCGCTGTCCGCGCCGCCGCGGCCTGTGTCCATTTGAGACAGAAGGCCGCTTGCCGAACAGCGGTCGCTGTTGGTTTGGGACAGCATTTGTTGTTGGGCATTGTACCCTTTCTTTACGTCCCCATGTCGGACGTCCAAAACGTACAATCGTGAGCGACGCTCGGGTCGATCTTGCATGGTCAAGGGTGTGTGTGTGTGTGTCTTCTCCATCCCTGGTCCTGTGTCCTCTTCGTCCTCTGTGCTTGCTCGTGCCGCGTTGCCCTGGGGAGATCCTTGCGTCACCCTGGATGTCCTTTGCGTCCAGTCGCGAATGTATGAGGACGGCCTCAGATCTTGAGACGGCGGGCCCGCCTGGAGCGGCCTTCTGCCCCCCCTCGAGGGTTGCCCCCCTCTGGTCTGCAGTCGGGCCGTCGGTTGGCCCACGAGAGCCAGACCGGCTGCAGCAGCATCGCCAGCAGTTCGCCCGCCGACCGTGGCAGTTGAGGCGCAGGACGAGGGGTAGGAGGACCACGAGCCATGGCCTGGCGTCGCTCGGGTTGGCGGACCATTTCGTTCAAATGTGTGATTCTCTGAGTTGGCTCCACTCGCTTGGGCCCATGCGTAGAGCTGGAGGAGTTCTACTGTCTCTGGCAGTCGTCGCGGAAAGGATCAAAACAAAAGCGCACCACAACCGCGTCCGAGCCACGACGAGAAGCTGTAGGCATGGCCAGCGTGACCCTTCACCCCAAGGGATGGTCGTTGACTGCTGCGTACAGCAGCCATTCCTGGAGGGCTGGCGCAGGGCGATGGAATGACGCGCGGGCATCAGTTGATTGAGCGCTTGGACAGCCTTCGGTCCTGAGGGGGAGGAGGATGACCAGGACGACGCTGACGACGCTGATGATCATCATGTTTGTCAGTTCTAGGTGATTGTTGATATTGGTGGTTTGATGTTTTATGCTAGATGGCTGATTGATGGAAGGAACGATTGGATATTGATGATTTGCTTCTTTCATGGTTTATGATGATGCATGGCCGATGTTTGGCCGTTGATGGTTACCGATGGTCGTGATAACGGTGACCACTCACGGTAACGGCGTGGTTCCGTGCCGACACGCAGGTACTGCCAATGACGGTGATTGTGTTGATGATAGCGAGGACCGAGACATCCGATGTCATGTCCATGGCGTGGGTCTCCGGACTTGTCGACCCCATGATGCACGGGGTTGTTTTTGTTTTCATCCTGGGCTCATTCTGATCGAACTGGGGCCCGAAGCGTCTTCAGACGCCACATGACTGTAGCGTTTTTTATGCTCAGCACGCTGGATGTTTGGAGTCTTCCCTGGAAAGTCGTCTCCTAGAGCTGTCCTGGGGCGCATCTGGCCAGAATCTCGAGGCGAATGTAGCCGCCGAGGTCAAGACCGTCCGAAAACCTCAATCTTCGAACCTCGCGATCCTCATTCCCCGTCCTCCTCCCAAGACCGACCTCTGGACCTCTTCAGGGCGTTCTGACCAGACATCCGAGGGGAGTCCAGCTGTGGCGATGAGAAGCTGCCCCAGAGTCCCCCAAATGGGCGGAAGACGCATTCACAAGTTTTGAATGTCGACCCTCGATCCTTGATCATTGATATTCTCTCCTCCGTCCCCGGCGCCGCCGCGTCCGCTCCCTTACCTTCTTTGCCTCTCCCCCCCTGCATTCCTTGCCGTTCCTTGCTGAGTCATCGTATGGGGCCAGAACTTGCGCACATCGACGATCAGCGTTACTCCTCAGTCATACGATGGCTCTGGGCTCCAGAGGGCATGGACACCTTTGGGTCCCCTAGGGGTGAGAGTGTCCATATCCGCTGCCCCCTGGAACCCTGGGACATCCTTCCTCGCTCACTGACCGCCCTCCTCCTTTCCTTGCCCTCCCCCTCACATTTCCTTGCCCCGCCTTCCTTCCTTGCTCCCCCTTTTCCCTGCTCGGCCCAAGGGTGCGAGGGATCCGTGGCTGGAGAGGCCTGTGATGGTTTGAGGGACCACCCCGTCTTCGGCGAGCGGGCGCACAGGCACGCTGGCGCCCGCCTCGGCTGGGTCTATTGCTCTCTTCTTTGTTCCCATCGCACTGCCTCCACTCCTCGCTCTCTGCTCCTCTTCCCCCCTCCTCGCCGCCCCCCGCTGAGCCTGCGGCCTCCCGCGCCATGCTCTGCTGGGCACGGGCTGGAGAGGAGGAGGAGGAGGAGGAGGATGAGGAGGAGGACCAGTGTAAACCCAAGAGGCATCAACGATGTTGGAATGAACCCTCCCTCCAAGCTCCCTCTTCACAGGCCAATGCAGCAGTTGATTTTTACTGAGAATTGCCTCGTTGGGAGAGAACTGTTTGAAGACCCTGAAGCATGCGAACATATGGTTCTCGGGATTCCAACGCCACTGTTGCGTCTTGACGATCCTGAATCGTGCCAAGACGCCATTCCTAGGACTTGAACACCGCGAATCAACATAACTTGTGAGCCCTCGTAAACCTGAATCCTTCCCAACCGCCATTTCTGGTACGTTTATCATGGGACACCCGTAGAATTCTTGCAATGTTTGCGGCGAATGTGTTCGGCGCTAAGGCGAGAGCCACATTTTGAGAAGGAACCGCCTTCAATCCGTGATGTGCGCGGCGCTAAGGCGAGAGCCACATTCTGAAAACCACTCGCCCTCAATCCGTGAAGCCTTCGCAAATTTTTGAAAAGAATGTGCGCGGCGCTAAGGCGAGAGCCACACTTTGAAAAGGAACCCCACTCAATCCGTGAAACTCAGACGAATGTGCGCGGCGCTAAGGCGAGAGCCACATTTTGAACACCACTCGCCCTCAATCCGTGGAACCTTTCTGCACATGTTTACAATGAATGTGAGCGGCGCTAAGGCGAGAGCCAATTCTGAAAACCACATCCCTTCAATCCGTAAAGTTCGCGCACATTTAAAATGAATGCACACGGCGCTTTTGAAAACGACTCGCCCTCAATCCGTGCAACTCTTATACAGTTTAAGCTTCAGAGTCGTAACTGATAGGGAAGTCTCAGGCGAAACGCCCGGCCCGCCCAAAGAACTTGCCTCGGGGTGCGACAGGGAGAAGCTATTTATAAGGAGAAGGAGGAGAAGGAATGGAGGAGGAGGGGGAGGATGAGGAAGAGGAGGAGGGGGAGGGGCAGGGGGAGGAGGAGAGGAGCAGAGGGAGGAGGAGGAGGAGGAGGAGGAGGAGGCGGAGGAGGAGGAGGAGGAGTAAGAGGGGGAGGGGCAGGAGGAGGAGGAGGAGGAGGAGGAGGAGGAGGAGGAGGAAGATCCCCGGCGGAGCGCGCACGACACGCGCTCGCCCGCGCTCGCCTCCACCGCGGCGCCTCTCCCGCGGCGCCCCGCGCCCGATGTGTCCAGGACCGCCGCGGGCCGCCGGAGCGCCGCGGTGCGCCCAGCCCCGCGGCGGGGGAGGGGGAAGCCCAGGCCTCTTCAGCGGCGGGGGTGGGGTGGGGAGAGGGAGCCCATTCTTCCTCGGCTTTCTCCAACGTTTCTCCCTTCCCAGCTTCGCCAGCTTTGTTTTATTGTTGTCTGCTTGCTGCTTTATTTTTCTTTCTTTCTCTCTCTCTCTACCTCTCGTTCTCTCTTTCTCTCTCTCTCTCTCTTGTCTTTTTTCCTTTCTCTCTCTATATATGTATATATATACATAGATATATGTAGTGTTTGTTGCTGTTTTCTCTCTCTCTCTCTCTTTCTCGTTCTTTCTCGTTCTTACGAGGCTCCCCCGCTTTCTCAGTACCTGTTCATATTTCCCAGACTTCCCCGGCTCTTACGCCGACTGAACTCCGCCACCACCCCCATCCAACCTCACTGTGTTATTACATGGCACTTATACGTTCGCTTCTGAAGTACCTGTTGTTCGATTGCAGTCTGTGCATCATGTGGCTGCTGGACAGCTTATAGGCTACCCTCGGCAAGACGCTCTGGGGGCTACATCTTCCAAATCAGTTCGTGAGACCTTACCAAGTCTCGTCGCCTCCCAATTCTCCATAATACCTGACACCGAGGAAAGAAGGCTTCGGGTTGGCATCGCGCTGGGGAGTTACGCTTCGACGCAAGCGTGTACAATCGATCCCGCTCGTGAACCGAAGGGACTCCCTAGACCTGTCCAACAGTTTACTTTCACAGCGCTCTGCGCACAGCTGGGTACTCTGAGCCGATGCGACAAAGCATGCGGCCATGCTAAATAGACGTGACACGGAAGTGCCTGAGAACTAGAGAGGGGCGAGACTTGGACCCTGAATCCTCTTTTCCTTCCATGGCCCCCTCCCCTCCCCCGCCCCCCTCCTCCTTCCCGAGAAGCACCCGAGCGCTGCGAGGCCCCTGCGACCGTTCCGCCAGGCACGCCGCCCCGCAGCCCCAGCCGGGACGGCGACCCGTCGAACGACTGGATCCACGACAAGCTGGCGCTCCCCACCATGGCGAAGGAATTTTGAGGAGGAGGAGGAGGAGGAGGAGGAGGGGGAAGAGGAGGGGGAGTAGGAGGAAGAGGAGGGGGAGGGGGAGGAGGAGGAGGAGGAGGAGGAGGAGGAGGAGGAGGAGGAGGAGGAGGAGGAGGAGGAGGAGGAGGAGGAGGCTACTGCGATGCTCATGTCCTTCCCTCTTTTCCTTTTTTCCGGTGGGCTCCTGGGGGGCCCTCGTCGCCACGGAAGGATGGGCCTCGCACCCCTGGTCATGACGCGCACCGCGGGAGAGGTCTGGATCAGCGGCGCCGCTGCCTCGTGTCCACTCCACGAGACGGAGCGCTTTCGGAACTTCAGGCGTCTGGGGTGGCCCTCCTCGCCTCCGGCCTCGACATTCTTGTCGGAGTGCGCCCTGGGTCAGGTCTGCGGACCGACTTTTGAGGGGGATGGGCCGTATTATCGTGGCGTGAGCCCAGGGCTCTCTTGGGTGGGCTGGGCGTCTGCTTGTGGGCATGTGTGCCGAGGCAGGCACGCCTGTAGCAGTTTGTATGGGGCCGCTCCAGAAGTAGCCTCGTTTTCGAGAGGGATCGAGAAGTTGGCATTGTCTCCCTCGTCGGAAGGCGGCGGAAGACCGGAAGGGGCCGTGTGGTCCTCTCCTGGCCCGCTTCCCCCAAGCGCCTCAAGATGCAGAGCTCGCTCTATGATGGTCCAACCTACTTTAGCCTTGATCACCAGAAATCATTTCGAGCACCAGGAAAGTACCGAAACTTGAGGGTTTTCACGTGCCGGGCCCTGGGAGGCGATACTCGTTCGACAGCGTTTCGAGATTTCTCTGGGTGCTCGAAATTATTTTTTGGATGTGGTCCTTAAGTGCGATGGGAGCAAGATGAAGCTCGCTCTCTTTGTGTGGTAGCCCAGCTCGGGCAGTGTCGTGATCGCATGCGCGTGGTGGCTGCTCAGACGTGGCCCGCCAGGCCGCAGACGCCCACCAGGCCAGGCCGTCCTTCGGTCGCCCATCTCCTATGTCGGAGCTACGGGTATCCTCCTTTCTAAGGGCGGCGCCACTTGTTGGTGTGAAGAGGGGCTCTCCCAACCGACGCCTATGACACTTACATCAAGGGAGGAAAACCCACCCGGACCCGACAATTGGCGTTTACTAAACGGCCCTGGGCGTTGACCAAGCAGCCCTGCCCTGTTTGATCCCCTCTTTGGGTGCGTTTGCTGAACGGCTTCGCGTGTGGGGGGGCGATAATTCTGGGGGTGGATTCTCTGCCCTCTATCGCAGCTGTTGGTGCCGGACTCTGGTGCCGCCGCCCTGCGTCGCCCACGCGCTGGGCTTGCGCTCCAGGCTCGGGGGCCCGCTGCGCCAGGGGGCCTCAGCCGGCGCTCCAGAGAGGGGGGGAGTCGCCGATCCATGACGGAGCCCGCCCTCTCTCTCTCTCTCGGTCTCTCTCTCTCCGCCGTGCTCCACTCCGCCCTCGCGGAGCGCTGGGGCGGACGAGGAGAGGGGGTTGGGCAGGGCGAGCACGTCGCTCGCGGGCCACCCGCGCACCCCGCGGGGAAGCGTCCCACGCGCACCAGAAGATTTGGCGATCCTGGGTCCCGACCGTTTCAAGGATCCTCAGGATTGAGGGCTGAGGCTTGAGGGGTTGGGCCAAAATCTACGGACGCTCCAACTCGTGCCTCAAGGGCCTGGTGGCGGATACGTTTTTTTCAGGGGGTCGGACCGATTTTTGCCTCTTGTGGCTTTCGTGGGGATCCTCTCGAAGCCGTGTTTGGGCGTCCTGGAGGCCACTTGGGCAGTCCTGATGCCATCCTGCTTGTTTTTGAGCTCCCCTCGGCGTGCTGGAGCCCAGCATGGGCCAGCCAAGAGCCCACGGAGCGTCGACTTGGAGGCTCCAGAGTCCCCTTGGGGTGCGCCTCGGAGCCCAGGGACCCCCCCCCGCCTGTCCTCCTCTGAGCACGCGGTTCTGGGCCCCCGGGGAAGGTCGGCAGGGGGACGGGCACCCCAATAAGCAAAAATCGTGGATTTCCGATGGGCAAACTGATATTTTTGGCGTGTTTGCCTTTTGGGCGTCCACTGCATCCAAGACGGCCCAAGAGGCACCCAAGCCGGTCGAGGATGCCCCCAGGAGGTTCCCAAGACGGCCCACGAGAGACACGCCTTTTCGACCCCAGTGAGCGGGGATCGGCGGATTTCTGGTTCAAACTGGCATCTGCAGCCCGAATCCGGTGGTTGAGCTTCCCCGTCGCACCTTTTTTTTCCTCCCAAGATGCCCTCGGGAGTCGTGAAACGTTCCAGACATTCCTTATTATGAACGCCCTGCCACAACTTGATGCTATCCTTTGAAGCGTTCCTGCCCTTTCCCTATTACTCGAAAAGAACATGGGATTGCCATTTTCCTGATTACTCCAGGTGGGGGGAGGGGAGCGAGGGAGGGGAGGGGAGGGTCTCAGATTGTCACCTCCTCGCCGTTCCCCCCTCTCTCTCCTCGTCTCCGGGCCGCTCCCGCCCAGGTGGACCGTGAGAAGGCGCGCGTCGACCGAGACTGGGGCGAGCCCCCTCCGCGCACAGCTGCCGCAGATGAGGAGGTGGAGTTTCGACACCGCTCGCCCTCTTTTTCAGGCGATCGCGAACATGGATCAAGGGGGCGTGGATTAGCGACGGGTCTCGTTTTCATGGGAAATCGCGGATCTCCGCTTCCGAACGATGCGGCGCTGGCCGCATTTTGGTGAGGGCACCTCCCCCGATCCATGGATTCGGCGACCGCGCGCCACATCCATGGATCGCTAATCCATGTTTGCGCGCCCCCGAGCTTTGGCACCCCAGCACCCGCCGCTTCTGCTGGAAGCCCTGCAGGACAGCAGTCTTGACCTGGACAGGCGAACCTGCAGGAAAGCTGGGAAGAACGGCTGGGGCCAGCCCTTCCGCTCTCTCCAGCCCTGGCCAATGTTCCTCTGCTGTTTCCAGCCTTGGCGACCTCGTTGCGCCTGTTTCGGGCTCGCTTCAGCCCCTGCCAGTTTTTCCAGCCCTGTTCACTTCCACTTGTTTATGCGATTTCCAACGTCGCTGTTTCCAGCTTCTCTGCAAGAGATGGTCTGGGCAAGAGGTGGTCTGGGCAAGAACTGGGCGAGGTTTGAGCAGTGCGGCGAGGACAAGCGCCAGACAGCATGAGTACAGGAAGCGCATGGTGGCGCATTTCGTGGCACCAGCGTGCGTCTCTTCCTCTTCTCTTCCTGATCCCTTCTGGCCCTCGGGGAACTGGGAGGGAGGAGTCTTGGAGGGTGTGGGAGTTCGGATGGGGGGTCGCGGCAGCCAGGGATCGCAGGTACGGGCTGGCAGCACCCCTCCGGGATGTCTTCCGTTGCACTGTCACGTTTGCAGTCCTGTGTTCTGAGCGACCTCTTACGGACTGACAGCGAACGAGCGCCGCTCGAGGGGAGAAGGAGGGGGCGTAGTAGAAAGAGCGGCGGTCGGACCAGGACGAGGGGCATGAGGAGGGGGAGGGGAGGATGCTGGGGAGCAGGAGGAGGGTCGGGAGTAGGAAGAGGATCAGGAGGCAGTGTCACAATGTAGCTAGACTGTTTCTGTCGGCGGCGAGGCGGGGCAATCCGCTCCAGCGTGGCAACAACGGAATGTAGCTAGACAGGTGATTGGGAAGTTTTCTCCTTCTTTCGGTCGCTTTCGCTGTTAGGCTAAGGTGTCAACAATAAGCCGCTAGCGAGCGGCGAGTACCTCTCACTTACCTTTCGTTGCCATCGTCCTATGAACACTTTTTTTGGATCCGCGTGGCAGCGGAGCGAAGTTTTTTTATTGAGACGAGTGTCGGAGAATTCTTGACGCTTTGCGTATCCCCAGCTAGTCGCGGCCGTAGCCCGCCCGCGACCGCCCGCCGCTGGCGCTTCCGCCTGCGGCTGTAAAAAAAAGAAGAAGTATCCCCATCAGCCCATCCATACACGATGCCCATGAGAGCTGACGGGGGGAGAGAGGAAGGGACACGCATGATCAAACAGCGAGAAAGGCCGGCCTGGACGGCGTCTTGGAGCGGTCTTGGGGCCTTTGGGACGAGGCTTTGGGCTTGTGGCAGGGAAGTGGTGGCTGAGGCCTATTGCTGCTCAGCAGTGTTCTCCTCGTTCGGAGTCGTTGGCCCTCTGGACCCGCCGGCCTCTCAGATCCTGGTTTCTTGTGGCTGAGATCCCGATGCGAGAGCGCCGCCGCTCGTGCCGGCAGGGGAGTTACATTGTGTGGCGGCATCTGACAGAGCCAGCGTATGTGCAGCACGTGACTGTAGAGCAGCTTGCTGTTACCCTTGCATCCCTGCTTTTTCTTGTCTCGGGGTCTGGTCCTTTCCTTTTTGGCGGCCCCTGGGCCTGCGGGGCCGCCGCCTCTCGCCCATCCAGAAACGTTCGCTATTCTCTGGGAAAACATCACGCCGTGACGGCTCGTGTGCACGCCGTCTTATCTTTATGCCGCCGCAACCGTGTGCAGCTCAGGCGGCTCAACGGGTTTAGCGCCTCGTTGCGGACCGCACGGCGCGCCCCTCCCTTGTCGCGGTGTCCTGTGCCGCACGAGAGGGGCTCAACTTACCCGCGTATGGCACGCACGCGGCGGGGCATCCGCTCTGAGCTCCAAGGGTGTGCCAGGGGTGAGCACGTCGAAGTTTGATGTCACCGTGTTGCAGTCTTCCAACATCGAGATAGCTGACTTCCTTGAGTCCCTTCAGGGTAACGGTGTGTCCGTTGCGAAGGCAGCGGCGTCGAGCCTTGCATGGTGGTGCAAAACATTCGACTTTCCAGTTCAGTTTTCTGTGTCGTCAAGCATTGTAGCGGCTGAAATTAAGTGTCCTGGAAAGGATCAGGCCCCGGCGCCCGAGCAGGCCAGGCCTTTCGAATTATGCCACATGAGGCAAGTGGAGTCTGTCTGCGTGAAGGCCTCCAACCCGGTGCACTCTGGGATGGCGGGGTGGGTCGCGCTGTTGGCACACGCGGGCTTGCGCGGAGAGGGCGCTCAACGCTTGGTGCCGGGCTCCTGTGGCCGCAACCAGGACACGATCTTTGGCGTCTGTCGCGACCCAAAACCGCACGGCGTCCAGAACATGCAGTGGGCTGCTCTGAGGTGCGGCGTCTCTGGATGAGACTGGGGCGAGCACCTGTGGAAAAACCTCCTTTTCGAAGTGCATTCGCGGGCTCTTGATTACAGTCTCCCTGGCATCAGCCGAGACGGCGCGAAATTCGAGTGGCATCGTTGGGCCAGCAAACGCGACCAAGTCGCTGCAGTCTGGCTGGTGCTCACACACGCAGAGGGGGATTCCCCGGTCAGCGTGGATGTCGCGCGGGAGTTCACCCCGCATTCCCCTCGCTTCTTCTACAACACGGTCGGCTCGGCCTTCGGCTTCACCGACCACGAGAGGTGCATGTTCGGCAATTGGGCCCCAGGGAGCTCGATGCCTCGCAGGTACGACGCTTCCGTGTGCGGTGAGCAGCTCTTGCGCCGGGGGGAGCTCCTCGGTCTGTTGCGCGCTGGCTGGGAACCCCCGGCCGCGGGCTGCCCGGGCACGCCGCGCTCCCCAGGGGGTGCCGGTGCGATCCCGCGCACGCCGGCTGGTGGCCCGATTGTGGTCAGCGAGGCTGCCCCGAGCGCGCCGGCCCCAGGGCACGGCCGCTCACTAGGGCAAGTGCGCCTGGCGCTGCAAGAAGCAGTGCGGGGCGGCACTCTGCTCGGACACGTGTCCGCGCTTGGCGATGCCACGCTGCACGTTGCCAGGTCTCTGGACAACCTGCGCGCAAAGTGCGGGTTCGTTCTCCCGGTCGGCGCCCAGCGCGTCGTCTGTCTGTCGGATGCGCCCCACTTCGGCTACTCCGTGTGCGGCCGCGCGTGCTTCGGGATCCGATGCGCAGTCGCATCACTCTTGGCTTCACAGTGAGGCCGCCTGCCGAGGAACGCTTCCTCCGAACTGTGTTGCCTGCTCAGGAAAAAAGTGTCCCGAGGGTCTTCTCTTGCTTCGCTCCCCTGCCTCGCTCCCCCCCCCCCTCCCTCCCTCCCTCCCTCCCTCCCCTGCCCCCGCTCTTTCTCTCCCTCTCCGGGGGTCGGGGTCCCTCCTTTCCTCTTCGATGCTGCTTGCGTTGGATTTCCTGTCGCTCGCTGGTGACCTTTGCCCGCGGCAGCAGGGCCTTGGGATCGCGCCGCTGGGCCTTGGGACGCACGATCCCGCTGCGGCGCCAAGCTACCACCCATGTTGTGTTGTGGATGAAAAGGGAGCCCCTGCTGCAAGCAGCAATTGGAACGAGGCTTTGGGCTTGTGGCAGGGAAGTGGTGGCTGAGGCCTATTGCTGCTCAGCAGTGTTCTCCTCGTTCGGAGTCGTTGGCCCTCTGGACCCGCCGGCCTCTCAGATCCTGGTTTCTTGTGGCTGAGATCCCGATGCGAGAGCGCCGCCGCTCGTGCCGGCAGGGGAGTTACATTGTGTGTGGCGGCATCTGACAGAGCCAGCGTATGTGCAGCACGTGACTGTAGAGCAGCTTGCTGTTACCCTTGCATCCCTCCTTTTTCTTGTCTCGGGGTCTGGTCCTTTCCTTTTTGGCGGCCCCTGGGCCTGCGGGGCCGCCGCCTCTCGCCCATCCAGAAACGTTCGCTACTCTCTGGGAAAATATCACGCCGTGACGGTTCGTGTGCACGCCGTCTTATCTCTATGCCGCCGCAGCCGTGTGCAGCTCAGGCGGCTCAACGGGTTTAGCGCCTCGTTGCGGACCGCACGGCGCGCCCCTCCCTTGTCGCGGTGTCCTGTGCCGCACGGGAGGGGCTCAACTTACCCGCCCACCGTCCCCAACGACCACCTGTCGTGTTGGAGATGGAGGGCGAACTCACGCAGATCCTGGGCGAGTTCACCGTGGACCCGGCTATCAGCAACATGCTGGTCCAGCGCGGCTGCCTCAAGCTGTGGCAGTTTGTCGAGTTCGTTGACGACATCAAAGACTGGACGGGGATCCTTCCGTCCATGGAACCCGCCATCACGGACAGAACGCCCGTCGCCGCCCTGCGGCGCGCGTGCAAGGCTGCAGCGCAGAGGGACGAGGAAAGGTCCCGCTGGGGCAAGGACAAGCCAGGCGAAGACCTGGGTGCTCCGATCGACCCTGTTACACGCAGGACCATCATTGAGGCTCACGCTGAATTCTACCGCTTCCCCATCCAGCTGACCCGTCAACCCAGCGACTCGCTTCTGGGCCGCCTTCATCGGGAACGGGAGCGCGGGACTTACACAGTTATCAACCTCGCGAAGATCACGTCCGTGGCGTCGCAGAGCGTCCACACGAAACACTTCGAAGTGGTGCCTGGGATCGCCTTCAGCTTGGGTTCGCACGGTCATCTTCCTGATATTGGCGACAACAGCAAGGCGCTTAGCGCGGCGCAATGGCTTCTCAATCTGCGGATCCTATACAACGGCTATTCCATTGTCGGCATCCGTAGGTGCTTGAACCAGAAGAGTGAAGAGGTCCTGTGGTGCTCCTGGCCACTGGTGTCGCACTTTGTGGACACCTTGGTGACTTGGCAACGACCAACATCCCAGGCTCCAAGGTCAGGCCCAACTTGGGAGCCTTGCAGTTGGCGGAACTGCAATTCCGCACGCGGATCGTGGAGCTGCTCAGGCAGAACCCGGCCGGCCACAACATCTCCTTCGATGACGCCTTCCAGCAAACATTCATCGAGAAGCAGGGCCTGTTCCACTTCACAGCCCCGCCCGCCCCTGTTACGCGAGCAGCCGGGAGCGGAGGCCGCGGAACCGGGCAGCCGCAGAAGCGCCAGTACGGCGGCTCCGGCGACGGCGCGCAGAGCCGGCGGCGCACGGGGTCGGCGGCAGGTGGTTCCGGCCCGGGGAAGGGCGGCTTGGCCGCAGGCGGGGAGATGCGGCCGAGGCCGCGGTTCGCCCGTTTCGACGGGAGCGGGGCCCCCATCTGCCCAGACTACAATACGGTCGGCTGTTCCCAGCAAAGGTGCAGACACAAGCAACACAAGGTTGTGCACTGCTGCGACGTCTGGGGCTGCTCGGACACGCGTCCGCGCTTGGCGATGCCACGCTGCACGTTGCCAGGTGTCCGGACAACCTGCGCGCAAAGTGCGGGTTCGTTCTCCCGGTCGGCGCCCAGCGCGTCGTCTGTCTGTCGGATGCGCCCCACTTCGGCTACTCCGTGTGCGGCCGCGCGTGCTTCGGGATTCGATGCACAGTCGCATCACTCTTGGCTTCACAGTGAGGCCGCCTGCCGAGGAACGCTTCCTCCGAACTGTGTTGCCTGCTCAGGAAAAAAGTGTCCCGAGGGTCTTCTCTTGCTTCGCTCCCCTGCCTCGCTCCCCCCCCCCATCCGTCCCTCCCTCCCTCCCTCCCTCCCCTGCCCCCGCTCTTTCTCTCCCTCTCCGGGGGTCGGGGTCCCTCCTTTCCTCTTCGATGCTGCTTGCGTTGGATTTCCTGTCGCTCGCTGGTGACCTTTGCCCGCGGCAGCAGGGCCTTGGGATCGCGCCGCTGGGCCTTGGGACGCGCGATCCCGCTGCGGCGCCAAGCTACCACCCATGTTGTGTTGTGGATGAAAAGGGGGCCCCTGCTGCAAGCAGCAATTGGGACGAGGCTTTGGGCTTGTGGCAGGGAAGTGGTGGCTGAGGCCTATTGCTGCTCAGCAGTGTTCTCCTCGTTCGGAGTCGTTGGCCCTCTGGACCCGCCGGCCTCTCAGATCCTGGTTTCTTGTGGCTGAGATCCCGATGCGAGAGCGCCGCCGCTCGTGCCGGCAGGGGAGTTACATTGTGTGGCGGCATCTGACAGAGCCAGCGTATGTGCAGCACGTGACTGTAGAGCAGCTTGCTGTTACCCTTGCATCCCTCCTTTTTCTTGTCTCGGGGTCTGGTCCTTTCCTTTTTGGCGGCCCCTGGGCCTGCGGGGCCGCCGCCTCTCGCCCATCCAGAAACGTTCGCTACTCTCTGGGAAAACATCATGCCGTGACGGCTCGTGTGCACGCCGTCTTATTTCTATGCCGCCGCAGCCGTGTGCAGCTCAGGCGGCTCAGCGGGTCTAGCTTAGCGCCTCGTTGCGGACCGCACGGCGCGCCCCTCCCTTGTCGCGGTGTCCTGTGCCGCACGGGAGGGGCTCAACTTACCCGCCCACCGTCCCCAACGACCACCTGTCGCGTTGGAAATGGAGGGCGAACTCACGCAGATCCTGGGCGAGTTCACCGTGGACCCGGCTATCAGCAACATGCTGGTCCAGCGCGGCTGCCTCAAGCTGTGGCAGTTTGTCGAGTTCGTTGACGACATCAAAGACTGGACGGGGATCCTTCCGTCCATGGAGCCCGCCATCACGGACAGAACGCCCGTCGCCGCCCTGCGGCGCGCGTGCAAGGCTGCAGCGCAGAGGGACGAGGAAAGGTCCCGCTGGGGCAAGGACAAGCCAGGCGAAGACATGGGCGCTCCGATCGACCCTGTTACACGCAGGACAATCATTGAGGCTCACGCTGAGCTCTACCGCTTCCCCATCCAGCTGACCCGTCAACCCAGCGATTCGCTTCTGGGTCGCCTTCATCGGGGTCGGAAACGCGGGACTTACACAGTGATCAACCTCGCGAAGATCACGTCCGTGGCGTCGCAGAGCGTCCACACGAAACACTTCGAAGTGGTGCCTGGGATCGCCTTCAGCTTGGGTTCGCACGGTCATCTTCCTGATATTGGCGACAACAGCAAGGCGCTTAGCGCGGCGCAATGGCTTCTCAATCTGCGGATCCTATACAACGGCTATTCCATTGTCGGCATCCGTAGGTGCTTGAACCAGAAGAGTGAAGAGGTCCTGTGGTGCTCCTGGCCGCTGGTGTCGCACTTTGTGGACACCTTGGTGGACTTGGCAACGACCAACGTCCCAGGCTCCAAGGTCAGGCCCAACTTGGGAGCCTTGCAGTTGGCGGAGCTGCAATTCCGCACGCGGATCGTGGACCTGCTCAGGCAGAACCCGGCCGGCCGCAACATCTCCTTCGATGGCGCCTTCCAGCAAACATTCATCGAGAAGCAGGGCCTGTTCCACTTCGCGGCCCCGCCCGCCCCTGTTACGCAAGCAGCCGGGAGCGGAGGCCGCGGAAGCGGGCAGCCGCAGAAACGCCAGTACGGCGGCTCCGGCGACGGCGCGCAGAGCCGGCGGCGCACGGGGTCGGCGGCAGGTGGTTCCGGCCCGGGGAAGGCCGGCTTGGCCGCAGGCGGGGAGATGCGGCCGAGGCCGCGGTTCGCCCGTTTCGACGGGAGCGGGGCCCCCATCTGCCCAGACTACAATACGGTCGGCTGTTCCCAGCAAAGGTGCAGACACAAGCAACACAAGGTTGTGCACTGCAGCGACGTCTGGGGCTGCTACGGTGCGCACCCCAGGTGGGATCACGAGCGAGGGCAGGCGGGCCCAGCGCCTTGTGCCTCACCCACGCCCGCGCTGGCGATTGATGGCGTGCCGCCAGGGGATCCTTCCCCAGCTGTGCGCCGGAACGGCAGCAGCGCGTCGTGCGTGCCTGCACTTGGCCTCCCGCGTCCCGCCCAGGCGGTGCGCGTGGCTGGTCTAGCGGGCTACTCAGGCAGACAGCCTCGGGGGCGCGCAGTAGGCCGCTTGGTTCCTGACTTGCCGCCGGCGGAATTCATAGAGTTCGCTCTTACGCAGGTAGTGCACCCTCTGGCGCAACCGTGCCCGTTGCCGGCCAGGCTGGTCCAGTGCGTTCAGCGCGCGGCCGGGCTGCGGGGCGGCATTGTGCAGCTTCGGTGGGATCTGTACTCCGCGCTCTTGCGCAAACAGGCGGAATCAACCCCCAGCTACAACAGCTGGAAGGCCAGCCTCTCGGCTGACCAGGCGCTTCTGCACGGGCACTGGAATTTCCCGCTCCCGCCGGCTCTTGCGGGAAGCTGGTTACGAAAATGTGCATTTGCCAGATGATCTGCTCGCTGGCATGCCCGTTGTGGGCTTTGCAAACGACAGTGGCGTGCACTCACTGAAGCTCACTTCCCCTGCAATGTCTGTCGAGGAGTTCTGGCAGCAAGTCCCGGCGCGCAATGCAGCGCTCGTCGGGCGGTGCGGCCCTACCGGTGATTCCGCGCTGGACGAGCGGGCCTGCGAGAAGACTTACGAGGAGTTCGCCCTCAACCTCATGGAAGGCCCTTTCGACACTCTGGAGGCCTGCCCAGGCAAAGACAAGGTCCTCGTCCGTCGCAAGCCCCGGTGGCAAGACAGCGATGTTCGGAACATCGACGACTGTTCTGAAAACAACATCGACGCCACTTTCGGCAGCTACGAGACGTACCGCCCCGCTGGCGTGGACCACCACGTCTCTGTCGTCAGGCTCTGGGAGGAGCTGTGCCCGGGCACGCGCCTCAAGGGTTTTGTCGCCGACCTGTGGAAACACTTCAGGCAAGTGTTGGTCGGACTCAACCTGGTCGTTGCGTTTTGGTGCACCCGCGCGCATCGTGTGCGGTTTGGCCGCCTGCGGGGAAGCCCTTTTGGCGCGGCCGCGTGCGTCCAGACGTGCGCGCGGCTGCCCATGGCCATGTGCGCCCTCTTACAGCATCACCTCTTGGTGCCTGTGCAGCATTGCCAAGACGACCACCACTGCGTAGAACCTGACTACAGCGTGGCTCAGGCGTGGGCCCTCTTGAAATTGTTCTATGAGATGATTGGCCCCAAACTAGCGGCGCCGGGCGGTCCGAAATTCCCGTTGCCCGCATACCAGTTCAAGCTGCTGGGCACTTGGAGTGACCTGTCCGCTTCACCGCGTGAGATACGGGTCCTGCCGGCCCGCATCGAGGCGATCTGCTCTGAGCTTTCGAGCGTCAGGGACACAGAGCGTTTAAGCAGCGGGCTCGCAGCAGAGCTACACGGCAAGTTGGCATTCGCTGCGGGGCAACTCTTCGGCAGGTTCGGCCGCGTGCATCTCGGGCCTTTCAAGCGGCGCCAGTGCAGCAGGCACGGCCACGACACGCTGAACGACAGCATTCTGGCCGCCATCAAGTTCTGGCTTAGCGCCCTGCCTCTGGGCCCCTTCCGGGTGGTGCCGCCTGGGCCGGGCGCGCCTTTCGTGATCACGATGAGCGACGGCGAGGGCTCCGGTAGTATCGCGGCAGCCATCTGGAGCCCCCTCGCCGCGGGTGGCCGCGCTTGCCCGCGCTGGTTCCAGATGGACCTTCCCAGGGAGGTACTTGCGGACTGGGCCCAAAACGAAGGCACGGACGCCAACAGGCAGATCAACAAAATTGAGTGCGTCGCGCCGGCGGTCTGCTGCAGCACTTGGCCGGAGCTCCCACGGGGCTCGCTGTGGCTGCATTTCATTAACAACGATGGCGCTCTCGCGTGCCTTGTCTCGGGGACGTCCCGCTCTAGCAGCATTATGGGCCGGGTCGTCGATTACACGTGGTCGGTTCGACCGCGTGCCTTCTGAGTGCAACATAGTTGATGGCCGCTCTCGCAAACGTTTCTGCACAGCCATCCAAAACGGTTGGGTGCGAGACGACCCGGTGCTACCGCCGCCGCTGCGCCGGTAGGGGTCTGCCCTTAGTCGCGGCACCGCACAGGGCAGGCTCCAGACCTCGAGTTGCATGGTCTTCCAAGTACGCTTCGCGGCGCCAGAAGGCGCCGCCCCGTTTTCCGCGCCTGCAGGGGACGCACGATCCCGCTGCGGCGCCAAGCTACCACCCATGTTGTGTTGTGGATGAAAAAGGGAGCCCCTGCTGCAAGCAGCAATTTGGAACATCTTGGGAGCCATCTTGCGCCAGCTTGGGCTATGTTGAGCCATATTGGAGGTCATGTTGGGCTCTCTGAGGCCGCTTGGGTGCCTCTTGGGTTCCTCTCGGGTGCCTCTTGGATGCCTCTTGGGGCTTCTTGGGGCGCTCTTGGAGCTCTCTTGGGGGCCTCTTGGGAGCCCTGGAGGGCCTATTGATGTCATCTTAGAGGCGGTCGGTCAAACGATGGGGGGGCCATCGATGCCTGCCCACCCTTCGGGGGCAACGATCCTCGTGAGGGGTGTCAACACTTGGCCCTCCCACTGGCCGAACAAGGAGCCTCCGACACCTCGCGAAACCTCCCCAAGAAATCGCTTCCCCTCCCCGAAGGGAAGAGGGGTTGTGGAAGAGGACAGAGGCCCTCCTTCGACCACCTGTCGCCCAAAGGGCTCGTGGGATGCCCAGGGCCTCGACACGTTCAGGCGCAGGATCTGAGCACGCATCGCGTTGATGAGGTCAGGTCGTTGAGATGCTCGATGGCGGGCGCGGAGGGTTGCCGCAGAGTTTATGCGTCTCAGACGTGCGTGCGATTCGGGCCGGACGAAAGGGGGGGATTGGGAAAGGAGGGGTTACGACATTTGCTGCATGCAGCTGGTTTCGGCCTCGCCGAGGGGCCCATTCCTGGATACATGGGCGCTTCCGGCGCCGGGAGGCGCCGGGAAAATCAGCTACGCGAGCTGATTCTCAACCCCCCCCTTTGCTATCCCCCCCTTTCGCCCGACCCGAGCGATCCCAGCGGCGCGCGGACGGCGCTGCAGTGGCGGCGCGCCTCGGCGCAGCCCCGCGCCCCCGAGCCCGCGAGCGTGACAGAGCCGGTGCGCCCCCACGGCCACGGGAACCGGTGCCAAGAGCAGGCACGCTCGCCGATCGTTTGCGTAGGGGCCCAGCGGGCTCTCTTTGTTTCAGGGCCATTGCAGGTTTTTGCTTTCAGTGCCTGGCAGTCGTCAGGTGGACTCCCTCGAGAAAATCTGCCCTCGGAACGTTGCTATTGTTGTATCTTGGCATGCAGATGTGTGGGCTTGGAATCTGTTCTCCCTTGCGCGCTTGCTGGGGTGGGGGAGCGCGATCCCGAACTTTGTTTACATGCTGTTCTGACTTCACCTGCTCTCAAGTCGGGCCGGTCCCTCTACGAGAGGGGAGATTCAAAAATAGTCAAGAAATAGTCAGGGGGTGATTTTTCGACGTTTTTTGAATTTTGGGAGGGGATTTTTGGAGCATTTTTCATTTTTCGCCCCAAATGCCCCTGTAGGGGGACACGCCCGACGTAAACCGACTCCTGGTGTATTTGGTGTTGTGGTTTCTGCATGCATGCCCCCTCGTCGCGGGTTTTTGAAGTAGGCCCTTGCTAGTATGTGGTCACAAGGCGGTCGGACGACTTGGCCCGCATAAGACCATTCTATGGGTCTAGGCTCTACCGTACGGGATCGGAGGCCGTGACACGAACGTCCCAGAAAGTCACGGGCAGGGCGTAGTCTCTCAGTGAGTTGAGCCAGTCCGCATGTGAACATTTCAGTTTGATTAAGCACTTCCCCGTCACTGATACGGACGGTTCCGCCGAGGGATGGGGGGTGTCGAATGTAACCAGACAGGCGATTGGGGATGCTTCCCCTTTTTAGCCCGAGTGCCATAAGCCTCCGACGAGCGGTGAGTTTATCGCACTCACCTTTCATTGCTTTCGCCCTGCGCAAAAGACTTCTGTTGTGCTTGCAGGGGTGGTTACGCGGACGGGGATGGGAAGGAACGGTGGTGCCGCAGGGAATGAGAGGATGCACCCTGATTGCACTCTGAGTGAAGAAGCGCAATTGGAGCAGGGATGGTTTCGGACATACGAAGGCGGTTATTGTCGTTTCTACAGGGTTCATTGCGGGTAGTGGTCCCTTGGGGTTTCTAGGGGTTGCAGAGGCGTCCAGGGGACGTGGGAGGCAGTGAGGAGGAGGAGGAGAAGGAGGAGGAGGAGGAGGAGGAGGCAACGGAGACGTAGCGGGAGGCGCAGGAGGATGATCAAGACGGGCGGGAAGGGGGATGATGAGGAGGAGGAGGCGGGGGAGGATGAAGAACATGATGAGGACATGGAGCAGGATGTTGAGGTGGAAGGGGAGGCGGGGCGGGGCGACGAAGGATTGGAAGGGGGTTTGGGAGGGGAGTCGGGGGGTGGAGGGGGAGGATGAGGATGATGATGAGGAGGAGGAGGAGGAGGAGGAGAAGGAGGAGGAAGGGAGGAGGGGGAGGAGGATAACGATAATGAGACGGATGCCGAGGAGGAGGAGGAGGAGGAGGAGGCGGAGGAGGACGAGGAGGAGGAGGAGGAGGAGGACCTATTAGAACGTGGGTTACCGTCGAGCCCAAGCTTCCTCAAACGGACTAGCCGCTGGAACGACGAGAATGGTCTGCCGACGGGTCCCGAACCGCGAGCGAGGCGAGGGCCCGAGAAGCTCGGACGGGGACTGGCCGAGAACGCCAAACAGGGGGCACGACACCTCGCAGGGGTGGCAAGCTGGCAAGGCTTAACACTTTTCCCAGCACGGCCTCACCAGGCCCCAGCAGGCACAACGCATTACTCCCTGGTGGTTTCCCGCAGACTTCAGCACTGTTGCCGTTTCGGCTTTACGAGCGCCCACGACCACGACGGCCAAGGAGGCTAAGAATATCGGCCCCAGATGGCTTAGCGAGGGCCCCCAGCTGGCCTACAGATTCCCCTTGCCCCCCGAATCCCGACTGTCATTACTTTTACTCTGCCGCCGCAAAACTATGCTGTCCTACCCTGAGACTATCTTCGAATACCAACCCAATGCAGATGATGGCGATTCCGAGGAACCTCACTGAGCAAACACATACGTTCTCTGGACATCCGGCTGACGAGCCTCAGAGGTTTTGGGGGGATCGCTGGAGCAGTCGCCGGGGCGCCGCTCGGCAGTCCGCCCAGCATGGTCCCGAGACCACCTGTGACAGTTTCGTTGCATCTTATAGCGCCCCATCATGCCGAAGGAACGGCGGCTTGAACTCGGCTTAGTTGATAGACCTGCTACCTGCCCTCGTCTTCATCAGCCCCGATCCCTCGTGGTGACTCGGGGGCCTTTCGTCTCAGTGCCCTCGTGGGGGGTTGTGGTGCCTGTGTGTGTGCGTGTGTGGGTTCTCCTGCGCCTCTTGCTGGACGCTCGTAGCAGCTTGGGCCTTAACGGGGCCCCGTTTGGGTCGTCTCAGATACTCATGCCAGATTTCTCGGGGCTTCTCGGCTTGTTCTTCTACAGCGAAAGGCTCAAGTCCAGAAGTGTACAAAGGAAGAAGCGATCTTAGCCCAAGGCACAGGTCGTTGAGCCTGACCAGAGCCCGTCCAGGCGGATCCATTTGCTCCACAGCGGGCCCCATCCCCGACAGTTTCGCCCGGATTGTGAGGCATCAGAGCCTCGGGGATTTGGTCCTTGACGTCCCCCGAGCGTGGGCCGCCTCCTCCTCCTCCTCCTCCTCCTCCTCCACCTCCACCTCGGCGTCGCCGCTCTCTGGCGCCCCGCCTTCGGCCAGGCGGGGCCGACAAGATCCGCGACGAGCTCCGGGCCGCGGGCGTGGAGATCTACGACCGCGAGAGGAGGCGAGTCGGGACCCAGCGGTCGGAGGGGGAGCAGGAGAGGGTAACCATACCTCAGGAGGGAAAAACACACACACATACAGACACAAGTAATCGTCGACTCCGAGGAAAATATGGGAAATATGGGAAAATATGGAAAGTGGGGGGGAGATAAAAACACAGAAAATATGGGGAACTATGGGGAATCCTGTTATTTGTATATTTATTAGTGTGTCCCAGGGTCCCTTCAATACCGCTACCTTTCTCTCGTTTCCTTTCCTCTGAGCCTCTTGGGCGGCCTTCGTCGCCACCGCCAGATTCGCCTCGGAACCTGGGGCCAGCACGGAAACGGAAAGGGCGCTTCAGCAACTTGCCCGTGATGGTTCATGGCACCCTTCGCTCTTGGGAGCCTTGTCGGTAAGAACTATTTACGTCACCGCTCTCTGTTGGTAGCCCTGGTGTTCAGAGATTTTTATGTTGCCGCCCGTTCTTGAGCCTTGGTGTCAAGAGCTTGTTGCGTCACCGCTCGTTCTTGGGAGCCTTGCTGGTAAGCGCGTCTTACGCCGCCGCTCTCTATTGGGAGCCTTGCTGGGAAGAGCTTGTTGCGACACCGCTCTCTGTTCAGAGTCCTCGTGCCCAGGGATGGTTACATTGTCGCTCGCTCTTGGGAGCCTTGGTGGTAAGAGCTTGTTGCGTCGCCGCTCGCTCTTGGGAGCCTTGCTGGTGGGCGCGTGCGACGTCACCGCTCTCAGTTGGGAGCCGCCTCCTCCTCCTCCTCCTCATCCTTCTCCTCGTCCTCCTCCTCCTCCTCCTCTTTTTTCTTGGTATTATGCCATCTGTTTACAGAATAGCATGTGTAGCTCCCCTCGTGTAGTTTGTTCAGAAGATGCCAGTGATGCTCGGTTTATAAACGTGGACGCCCGGGAGGGGGCGGGGGAAATTCTGTACAAAACGACCGTTTTGTACAGAATTTCCCCCCTGGCGTTTTGAACGTGTCTGTTGCACTACGGTGAACTCCGCCGGTCGCAGCTCATGGAACGCATTGGCATCGCAGCGGGTCAGAATGATCAGGATTCGCCGGCAGAGTCTCTCAGCACATGTCTGTATTGCTCTGTCCGTGGCTATCCTGGCTCAAGTTTTGAGGGCCTATGTACTGGTATTCCGATATCGCTTCTTGGTGCCGCGATATCGCCAGCATCGGCGCACACTGGTACACCGCCTCTGTGGTCAGCTCGTGCCCGGCTCCGCCCGCGTGCCCGACGCTGACCTGCGCGCCCCAGCCGGCGTGCCCGCAGGTCACCTGCGGCAATTGCTCGTGCGCGGAGGCCCTGCCGCTCCGCGAGATCCTGTGGGGCTCGGCCGGGGTCGCTCTGGCTGCCGGCTCTGCGGGCCTCGCCGCTGGGGCCGCGGTGGGCTTCGCGGCCGGGCGCCTGGTCCTGCTGCCAGGCGCTTGCCAGCGCCGGCGAGAGGCTGGGGCGGGAGGCGCCCAGCCGCGGCCAGGCCCAGCCGCCGAGGCCATCGTGGACGAGCCTCCGGCCCAGGCGCCGGCGTCGAATCGCGCAAGGTTGCTGGCGCGGGCAGGCACAGGACAGGGGCAGATCGTGACCGCCTAATTGGGCAATGGCGCTGGAGCCAGGTATCACCGTTTTCCTCAACTACGGGGACGCGCTCTATCATGAGCGGATCCTGCTGGCGTGGGTGGTAGATTCGCTGTTCATCGTCATCACGCCTGACTTTGACGTGTACATTGAACAAATTGACGCTTCTAATCCAGATCTCGAGGCTCTGAGGGTTAGCGACCATGCGGGCTCGATCCCATTTGGGCTCACGGGGGCGCAGCTATATCGCTTTCGAGCTCGGCCCGCTGGAGCTGACTTGGTGGTGAACCTCATGGCCGAGGGTCGGCACCACGCGAGAGTGGAGCGGGCGGCGCGAGGCCTGGCCCCGCCACCAGGGCAGGACGACATCATCGGCCCGGGAGGCAATGCGCCGGCGGTCGTGCCCATCCCGTTGCCTGTGCCGCCGCCAGTGGCTCCTGGAGTGCCCGCGGTTCCCATGGCCCCGCGCGTGGCGGGCGCCGCGGGGGCATGGGTTTTCGACGAGCCGGGCGATTCCTTCGCCGTCGGCCAGGAGTTCGCCCTGCCGGCCAACGCTCTCGACGTGGGGGGCCGGACATTCGTGTCCGTCAACGGCAAGGCGGTCAGCGGGACGCGCGTCGCGGCTGGGACAGACCTTGATGGGTGGGCCCGGCAGCGCCAGGCGCAGCTGATGAGGGCGGACCCTCGTGTCCTGCCTCGCCCCGCTGGCGGTGAGCAGTCGGCTTTCGTCGACGATGTGAGGCTGATGAAGCGCGACCCCAGCGTCCCAATCGGGATCAAGGGCCCCGCCACGCTGCCCGACACCCTCGCGGACCTCAGGAAGGGCTCGACTGGGGGGTTCACGGCCGCGCACGACCGTTGGTTGGTGGACTCGAAGGTGCCAGCCTCCAGCAGGTCCGGACACGAGCATCGTGTCCTGAGCCGTGCCTTGTCGATGGCACATGAAATCGACGGGCTGAACTTGCCGAACTTGACGTGCCTCGAGTACATTAATCGTCGCCGTCAGCTCATCGAGACGGCCCACCGCGACGATCCCGTAAGCGGGTCGTGGGACTCAGCCCGGAGGGCACCGGCGTCCACGTGGCGCCGTCGCTCCGCGCCCATGTCGCCACTGAGCTGTCCAAGGAGACGGCCATCGAGAAGGAGAGGAGAAAGGCCCGCGAGGCCAAAGCGGCGGCCAAGGCAAAGGCCAAGGCCGCCGGGGACAAATGACCAGTGGAGAGATCGGAGGCGGGCCGAGCCCCGCGGGCGCTCATCCTGGCGCGCCCGCCTCCATCGACCCTCTCAGCCAGGACGACGGCGTCGCGAACGTGGGTTGGGCCTGGCCTGATCGTCGTCGAGACGTCGCCCAATTCGAGCCGACGGTAAAGTCGGCTGGAGTGGAGCGGGACCTTTTTCCCCTGCCGCTCCTCGGCCCGGAGTGGCCTTGCAAGACAGGTGGCGGATCGTCCAGGACGGCTCGCCGCCACAGCAGCCTCCGCCGGCACGCATGGGAGGACGCCAACGGCATGGTCCGCGCCCTGAACTCCCTGTACGGGTGCGTCCGTCCGCCAGGCGGGGCTCCGACGCCTGCTCAGCATCAGGTACACAGAGATCTGCTGAGCACCGCTCGTGCTGCCAGGCAAGATTTTGAACGCGTCGTTCCCCGGGAAGCCGCTCGTCGACTTCTGGGTCCCAAAATGGAGTATGGAGGTGACGGCACCACGGTCGAGCCATTCGACGGGGACCGCGTCTCCCTGCCCCCTCTCGGCAAGGGGGCGGCCTGCCTCTCGGGCGCGCTCGACCCGGAGGCGGCCGCAGTTTTGCAGAACTTTGAGACTGACCTGCTCGCCTCGCCTGACGTGGTGGAGCAGCGGCGTATGTCGGCGCCGGCGCAGCCGTACCTCGACCTCGAGTTCCGGGCGAGCCGGCCCAAGTACATCCAGTTCTTGTCGATGTTGAAGTCCCGCGGTATCATCTCTCTTGTCGGCCGCCGCCGAGGCAGCGTGACCCCGTTTTTCGTTTCCAAGAAAAATGGGAAGCAGCGTTTGGTGCTGGACTGCCGGCTCATCAACGTCCTTTTCCACCACGCCCCCGTGATGGAGATCGGAGCGCTGGACTGCCTGAGCGGGCTCGAGGTGCCGCGGGGCCGCCAGGTGTTCACGGCGTCGGCGGACATCGAGGCCTGCTTCTACCAGTGTGGCGGGCTGGGGTCGCTCATCGAATTCTTCTGTCTGCCAGGAATCTCGGTGGCAGAAGCGACGCACCTGGGCTTCGACGTCACGGGCTTGTTCCACGACGCAAAGATGAAGCTTCACGTGGCGTTGAACGTGCTGCCGATGGGCTGGTCCTGGGCCTTCTGGTTCGTCCAGCGCGTCCACCTAGAAATGCTGCGGCGCGCTGGGATTGACTCCAGTCGCCTGGCGCTTGGCGGGTGGCCGCTGCCGCTGCTGGAGGGCGGCCCTGTCGAGCTCCCATACTCCGACAACGTGAACGTGATCGGGCTGGACCCGGTCGCCGTCGGGGAGCTCCGCGACAAGATCGTCTCCACCTTCAAGCGGCATGGCTTCGCGATGCACGAGATTTCGCCCGTCTCGGACGCCGCGGTGATCCTGGGCGCGAGCGTCGGCGGATCTCCGCCGAGCACGCGCCGGGTCTTGAACAAGTTGCTGTTAGTGCGAGGGGCGCTGCAGTGGCTGGCTTCGGGGCCCACCGTCACTGGGCGCCAGGTGGAGGTCATCGTCGGGCACTACGTTGCGCTCACGTCCTTCAACAGGCTCGGGCTCAGCGTGATGCGGTCGCTGTGCGATTTCATCCGCGACAAGTACGTCGTGCCGACGCGCTTGTGGGCCTCCTGCCGGTACGAGGCGTGGGTAATGGCCGACGTGAGCTTGCTTCTCTCTGCGAGGCTCGACCGGCCGTGGTCGCTCGTCGTGACGGCCTCCGATGCCGCGAACCGTGGCATGGCGGTGTGCGAAGCAATTTTCCCGGTCTCCGCCGTGGCCTCCGTCGGGCGATGGCGGGGGCGGTGGAGGTACAGGCGGCTGAATCCCGACGAGTGGGCGCCGAGGCGCCGTGCCCTTGCCCAGGAGTTCGCTGAGATCGAAGATCCCCTCACCGTCACTGCCTGCTCACCGTCGCCATCTGGTCCAGGGTGGGCTCTTCATCAAGGATTTCCAGAGGTTCCTCGGGAGCTCGCGACGACAGGGTACCGCACGATATATGCTGGCCCCCTACGTTATCAGGAACATATCGGTGTCAAGGAGGGGCGGGCGTTTCTGTGGGGGCTCAGACGGGCTGCTCGCGACGTTCGGAACTTCGGAACTATCAGGCTATTTCTCATCGACAACTTCGGGGTTTGCTGCGGGCTGGATCGGGGGAGGTCATCGTCACACGCCATATTACAGTTGTGCCGTCGGACCGCTGCCATCTGTCTCGCAAGCGGGATCAGCCCCAGGTTCCGCTGGATCCCGTCCGAGTTCAACCCCGCGGACGCGGGCAGTCGGCTCTTCGAGCACCAGGGCCCGCTCGGCCACGCTTGGTCCGCTGAGTCGAGCTGGCGCCGGGCCCTCGCAGAGCTGCGAGGAGAGGCCGACAGCCGAGGCCGAGGCTGCGCCGATTCCGGCCCCCACGCCTGCTGCGGGACCGCCGAAGCGGCGGCCAGCCGCCAGGCGGCGGCCTGCGGCGGCCGGCCCCCGCGCCCGGCAGCAGCCGGCCGCTGTCCCCCGGCCGAGGCGGGTCGCGGCGGCGCTGAGCCAGGCATCCAAGTCGCCGGCCTCGGCCGCGGCCCGCTCGCACTGCGAGGAGGCCGCAGCAGGCGCTGCCACGCGCGCCAACTACAGGCCGCTCTGCGACGCCTTCCTCGACTTCTGCCAGACGAAGGGCCGCGTCCCAGCCGACGTCAACGAGCTGCAGATCAGGCTGCTCGAGGCGCTCGACCACCTGCTTGGGGCCGATGGTACCAAGGGCGATGCGGACACGCTCGTGGCGGCGGTCAAGGATCACTTCCCCTTCGCGGTCGGCTCGGGGACTCTGCCTCGGGTGACCCGCGCCCTACGGGGGTTCGGGAAGAAGCGGCCGCCTCGGTCCCGGGCACCGGCACCAAAGGAGCTCATGGCGGCAGCGGTGTCGATGCTGCTGGCCCTGGGGCTGTACGACCAGGCGCTGCAAGTCGCGGTTCTGTTCTACACCTACATTCGCCCTGGGGCTCTCCGACAGCTGACGGTCGGGCAGCTGCTGCCCCCAGCGAGGCGGTCGGGGCCGCTGAGCCACTGGTCGATCATCCTGGCACCGACCGAGACGGTGGGCGCGCCCCGGGTCCTGACCAAGACCGGCACCTCGGACGAGACGGTGCTGCTGGACGAGCCCGCCTGGCTGGGGCCTGTGCTGCAGGCGCATGCGCGGGGCAAGCCTCCGACCGCCCCCCTCTTCACGACGGGCGGCCCAGGCATGGCAGCGGCCTTCGGCCGTGCTGTGGCCGCCCTGGGCGTCCCGGGCGTATGCCTGTACCAGCTCCGGCACGGCGGGGCCAGCGACGACCTGCTCACCCAGAGGCGGCCGGCGGACGCCGTGAAGGCGCGCGGCCATTGGAAATCCGAGAGCAGCTTGCGCAGGTACGCGAAGCCCGGGGCCATTCACCAGCTGCTCAACGCGATGCCAGCGGAGAACAGGGCGTTCGGCGTCCAGCAGATGAACTTGCTCGAGCGCCTGCTGAAGCGCGAGGCGCCCGGATCGTGGGCGCCCCGCAGCGGCGTCGCTGCGGCGGCGTGAACTGGAAGGGCCGCGGCGGCCGGCTACACCGACCCCGCCGCTTTCGGAGGCCTGGGGAGGTGTTCGAGCTGATGGCGGGCTCAGCGCGCATTGCCGCTGCCGCCGCCGCTGCCGGTTTCCAGGCCCGGTCTTGGGAGCTGTCCGAGTCGGAGATGCAGGACTGCATGCGCCCTCTCGTCAGAAAATGCATTTACGAGAGCCTCCGTTTGAGGCTAGTTGCCCTGCTGTGGATTGGCTCCATAAGCGCCACTTGGTCGCGTGCCAGACGCAACGTCTCTGGGCAGCCCGGGTGGCCAGCGCCGCTGCGGTCGCGAAAGTGCATCTTCGGTTCACCCCACCTCGCTGGGAAGGATCTGGCAGCTGCTCGCGGAGGCAACGCTCGTGCGACCTGGGCCGCTCGCCTCTTCCAGTTCGCAGCGCTTCGAGGCTGCCCCGTGGTGATTGAGAACCCGCAGAGCAGTTTCATCTGGTGTCATCCAGATTTCCAGCGCTTGTGCGAGAAGTGGCGGTATATCGACATTGACTATTGCGCCTTCGGTTGCCCATATCGTAAACGCACGAGACTCTTGTATGCTAACCTTGATATTTCTCGACTGAGTTGGGCGCACTGTTCTGGCAGGCACGTCTGCAGTTTCTCTCATCAACCGCACGTAGAGCTTGCTGGCAGGGCAGGCAAGACGTTTCATACCGCCAACGCCGTTGCATATCCACATGAATTGGCAGCGGCCGTTGCTCGCTGCCTGTGGGCCCGCCCACCCTCCCGAGTACAGATACTCTGATCTGGGGATTGGCCAGAGAGTGATTGCCAGCTGGCGCGCGAGGCTCACAACTGCTCGCCCCGCGCTCGATCGAGTAGTCTGCGTGAAAACAGATCGAGGGGGGTGTTAGCATGTGCCATCTGTTTACAGAATAGCATGTGTAGCTCCCCTCGTGTAGTTTGTTCAGAAGATGCCAGTGATGCTCGGTTTATAAACGTGGACGCCCGGGAGGGGGCGGGGGAAATTCTGTACAAAACGACCGTTTTGTACAGAATTTCCCCCCTGGCGTTTTGAACGTGTCTGTTGCACTACGGTGAACTCCGCCGGTCGCAGCTCATGGAACGCATTGGCATCGCAGCGGGTCAGAATGATCAGGATTCGCCGGCAGAGTCTCTCAGCACATGTCTGTATTGCTCTGTCCGTGGCTATCCTGGCTCAAGTTTTTGAGGGCCCCCCCCTTGCCCTCCCTCTTCTTCTCCTCTTCTTCCTGCCGTTGGCAGCCAGAGAGTGATTGCCAGCTGGCGCGCGAGGCTCACAACTGCTCGCCCCGCGCTCGATCGAGTAGTCTGCGTGAAAACAGATCGAGGGGGGTGTTAGCATGTTATTATCCTCCTCCTCCTCCTCCTCCTCCTCTGCCTTCTCCTCCTCCCTCTGTCTCCTCCTCCTCCTCCAACTCCTGCTGACTCCTCCTCCTCCTCCTCCTCTTCCTCCTCCTCCCTTCTCCTCCTCCTCCTCTCCTCTTCCTCCTCCTCCCTCCCTCCTCCTCCTCCTCCTCCTCCTCTTCCTCCTCCGCCTCCTTCCTCGTCCTCGTTCTTTTCCTCCACCTCCTTCTCTTCTTTCTCCTCCTCCTTCTCCTCTCCCGTCCTCGTCCTTCTCTCCCTCTTTCTCCTCCTCTTTCTTCCCCTCCTCTTTCTCCTCTTTCTCCTCCTCCTCCTCCTCCTCCTCCTTTCCCTCCTCCCCCTCCTCCTCCAGCTCCTCTCCCTCCTCCTTCTCTCCTCTTCCTCCTCCTCCGCCTCCTTCTCCTCCTCCTCCTCCTCGTTCTACCTCCCTTCCTCCGCCTCCTCCTCCTCTTTCTCCTCTCCTACTCCTCATCCTCCTTCTCATCCTCCTCCTTCTCCTCCTCTCTTGGCCCTGCCCTCGTTCCTCCTCCTCTTCCTCCTCCTCTTCCTCTCCCCCTCCTCCTGGGGCCCGCTTTGGAGCCTCTCGGGGCCCTCTTGGGGCTCTCTTATGACCGTCTGGGTGCCCTTGCGGGCTGTCTTGGGGCTCTCTTGGGCCGTTTCGTCTGGGGGACCTCTTGGACCGTTTTGGGGACCTCTTGGGCCGTCTTGGGGCGTTTGGGCCGCTTCACAAGAAAAATACAGAGAAACAGGCCATGGGAACCGCCCGGGAGCCGCTTCAATCGAACAGATACGAGGGCAACGGGCCATGTGGGCCGCTTCCAATGAACAAATATGCAGAAACGGGCCATGGGAGCCGCCCGGGAGCCGCTTCACTTGAAAGACAAGGAGAGACAACGGACTGGTAGACCATTCTGTCTGGGCCTCGCCCCTCCCCTGGACCCCTCCTAAGGTGGGCTTCGCCCCAACTCAACGTCATCACTCGTACCTCGCTCTTTCCGTCATCCTGGTCAAGCCGCACCGCGGGAGAGGGCTGGGTAGTAGCGGCATCGGTGCCTTTTGGTTTCCCCAAGGGGGGGAGGGGAGGAGGAGGGGGAGGAGGAGGGGGAGTCAGAGTATGAGTAGGAGTAGGAGTAGGAGTCAAGCTAGCCAGTTCGAGCGAGTCAAGCATGACATGCCCATTCTCACCCGCTCTCCCACAACATAAGAAACAGTGCTGGCGCAACTGGGGACCGAAATGAAATCGACAAGGTGGTTTGCCACAGCTGATGCAGTCGCGATGGCGGTTACCGATGGAACCTGGCGCGTCTCAAAGACTGCGCTGGCATATCAACACGTGCTTAGGAGGCCCCAGGAAGCCTCAGGAGGCCCCAGGAGGCCTCAGGAGGCCCGAGGAGGTTGCAGGAACCCCCAGCAACCCTTCAGTAGGGCCCAGGAAGCCCCAGGAGGTTCCAGGAGGCTTCAGGAAGCCATCGAGGGTGTCAGGAAGCCCCAGGGAATCCCAGGAAACCCCAGGATGCCTCAGGAGGCCCCAGGCGAGCGACAAATGTGCGCCGCACCTTTTGGCGGGAGTGCAACTCTCAGAAAGCATGCGCGCGGCGCCGAAGCGAGAACGACATTTCGCCTTGTCGCGCGCGATGTGCACCGCGGCCCACTCCGGCCACGCATTTCGCAAAACCGACGACAAGAAAGTCCTCGCTGAGAAGGAACATGTTGACTTTATATGGATTTTTTGATAGGTAGGCTGGCCCTCCCGCTTGGGGTTGCCCCAACCGTCTGCGCGCGATGTGCGTCGCGTCCCACTCTGCTACGCATTTGCTATCGCCGACGACAAGGGCCATGTTAAGAGGAACAACGGGGACTTTGTATGGATTTTGTATAATCAGGATGGGAGGGCCCAGATTGACGTCCGCGCGCGATGTGCGCTGCGTCCCATTCTTGCCACGCATTCCGCATCGTCGACGACCTACAGGCCATGTTGACATGAAACACGGAGACTTTATATTGATTTCTTAAAGTCAGGATGGGACCACCCGGATGGGGCTGCTATCGGCCGGACAAACGGGGGAGTAACAGTGTATTGTAATATGGAATATGGGTCGGACTACGAGTCGGAATCGGAGTCGGAGTAGGAGTAGGAGTCAAGCTAACCAGCTCGAGCGAGTCAAGCATGGCATGCCCATTCCCACCCGCCCCCCTTCAACATAAGAAACAGTGCCGGCGCAACCTGGGACCGAAGTCGGATCGGCAAAGTGGGTTGCCACGGCTGATGCAGCCGCGATGGCGGCTACCAATGGGGAGGTCTAGGCGCGTCTCAAAGACTGCGCTGTCATTCCAGCACGAACCGAGGAGGCCCCAGGAAACTTCAGGAGGCCCCAGGAAAGCTCAGGAGGCCCCGGGAGGTTGCAGGAAACCCTAGCGAACCCCAGGAAACCCCAGGAGGCTTCAGGAGGCCCAGGAAGCCTCAGGAGGTCCCAGGAGCTTCCAGGAAGCATTCGCAGGTGTCAGGACCCCCCAGGATGTTTCAGGAGGCCCCAAGAAGATCCACGAGGGCCTGGGGAAACCCCGGGAATCCCCAGAATGTTCCAGGAGACCTTTGGGCCCTAGGCTCCCGACGCATTGGGGAACGAAAAATGTGCGCCGCACCTCAGCGGGAGTGCAACTTTCAGAAAACATGCGCGCGGCGCAGAAATGGGAACGACGTTTCGCCTTGTCGCGCGCGATGTGCACCGCGGCCCACTCCTGCCACGGATGTCGTAAAACGGCGACAAGAAACTCCTCGCGGAGAAAAAACATGTCGATTTTGTATTGCTTTTGACAGGTAGGATGGCCGCTCCCGCTCGGGGTTGCCCCACACGTCCGCGCGCGAGGTGCGCCGCGTCCCACTCTGCTACGCATTTGTTAACGCCGACGACAAGAAAGGCCGTGTTCAGGGGACCAACTGGGACTTTGTATTGATTTTTAGCAGTCAGGATTGGAGGGCCCGAAGTGACGTCCACGCGCGATGTGCGCCGCGTCCCGTTCCTGCCACGCATTTCGCATCGTCGACGACAGGACAGGCCATGCTGAGAGTGGAGTTTTTTCACTTCGGATGGGAGGGCCCGGATTGACGACCGCGCGCCATGTGCGCCGCGTCTTGTTCCTCCTACGCATCTCGCATCGTCGACGGCAACAACGGCCATGTTGAGAGAACGACGAGTTGGTATTGATTTTTAACCGTTAGGATGGGACAGCCCGGATTGACGGCCGCGCGCGACGTGCGCCGCGTCCCGTTCTTGCCACGCATTTCCAATCGTCGACGACAAGACAGGCCATGCTGAGAGAAGGACAGCGACTTTGTATTGATTTTTTACAATTAGGATGGGAGGGTCCGGATGGGGCCGCCGTCGGCCGGCCAGAGGGAGTAAGAGTATATTCGATAGGGAATAAGCAAGCTGGCCAGGTCGAGCGAGGCAAGCCTGACATGCCGATTCCCACCCGCCCTCCCACAACATAAGAAACAGTGCTGGCGCAACTGGAAACCGAAATCAGATCGGCAGAGTGGTTTTGCCACAGCTGATGCAGCCGCGATGGCGGCTACCGATGGAAAGTGCCTGGCGCGTCTCAAAGATTGCGCTGGCATGTCAGCATGTGCCTCGGTGGCCCCAGGAAGCCTCAGGAAGTCCCAGGAGGCTCCAGGAGGCCCCAAGAGGTCGCAGG